GTTCGAGGGGATTTGGGGGGGATTTGGGGATGTTTTGGGGTCTGGGGATGGACCAAAACCGTGCTGTGTTCGAGGGTGAGGGGTTTGGGGGAGATTCGGGGGGAATTCAGGGGGGTTTGAGGGGATTTAGGGGGGATTTGGGGGGTTTCGGGGGGGTTTTGGAGAGGTTTGAGGGGATTGGGGGGGGGGGGGGGTTTGGGGGTCTGGGGATGGACCAAAACCACGATGGGTTCGAGGGTGAGGGGCTTCGGGGAGGGATTGGGGAGGGGGATTCGGGGGGAATTTGAGGGGGTTTTGGGGACGTTTTGGCGGGATTTAGGGGTCTGACCCCCCAAAAATCCCCAAATTTCCCCGAATTCCCCCCAGACCTGGCCGTGGGTGCCCCTTTTGACGGCGCGGGCAAGGTGTTCATTTACCACGGCAGCGCCCTGGGCATCGTCACCCGCCCGGCGCAGGGGTGAGGGGGGCTCGGGGGGGGCTCGGGGGGTCCCGGGTGGGGTCTGGGGGCGTCCCGGGGGGGGGGGGTCTCGGGCTCATCCAGCGCCCCCTGCCCAGGTGCTGGACGGGGAGGCCGTGGGGGTCTCGGCCTTTGGCTACTCGCTCTCGGGGGGGCTGGACGTGGATGGGAACCTGTACCCCGACCTGTTGGTGGGGTCCCTGTCGGACACCGTGGTGCTCTACAGGTACAGAGACCCCCCCCCCCCCCCAAAACCTGAGACCCCCAAAATCCCCCAGTTCCTGAGGATTCCAAACCCCCTGAGTGGCCCCCAATTCCTGGGACCCCCCTAAAATCCCCCAGTTCCTGAGGATTCCAAACCCCCTGAGAGGCCCCCAATTCCTGGGACCCCCCTAAAATCCTCCAGTTCCTGAGGATTCCAAACCCCCTGAGTGGCCCCCAATTCCTGGGACCCCCCCCCCCCCCCAGAGTCCCCCAATTCCTGGAGTGGACCCCCAGCCCTGGGACCCCCCAAAATCCCCCAATTCCTGACAATCCCAAATCCCTGTAGTGTCCCCCCCCCCCCCCCCAAATCCTTGAGCACCCCCAAATCCCTTGGAAATCCCTCAAACCCCTCCCCCAGCAATTCCCCTTTCCCAAGGACCCCCAAATCCCCCAGCACCCCCAAATCCCTGAGCCCACCCCCACAATCCCCCTTCGCAGGGACCCCCAAATCCCTCAGACCTCCCCATTCCCGAGTCTCCCCGAATCCCTGAGCCCCCCCATGGCAATCCCCCTTCGCAGGGACCCCCAGATCCCCCAAATCCCCGATCCCGCTGCCCCTGGGTGGTCCCGGGGGCACTCTCGGGGTTGGGGGGCTGCCCCGGGACCCCCATTTCCCCCCATTTCCCCCCGTTTTTCCCGGTTAGGGCGCGGCCGGTGGTTCACGTGTCCCGGGACGTGTCGGTGCTGCCGCCGCTCATCGACCTGGAGCAGAGCAACTGCCGCGACGGGCCCGGCGTGTGGTGCGTGGCACCGGGACACCCCCGGGTCCCCTCCATGTCCCCCGTGTCCCCCAGTGTCCCCCCGTGTCCCCTGTTTCCCCCCCGTGTCTCCCCATGTTCCCCATGGCCCCCTTTTTCCTCCCCGTGTGTTCCCCTTGTGTCCCCATCGTGTGTCCCCCTCCATGTCCCCCTCGTGTCCCCCCCGTGTCCTCTCCACGTGTGTCCCCCCGGTGTGTGTCCCCCCTTATCGCCCCCATGTCCCTGTGTCCCCATTTGTCCCCCCGTGTCCCCTCCGTGTCCTCCCCTCCTCTCCCCGTGTCCCCACCATGTCCCCTATGACCCCCCACACATCCCCCCCGTGTCCCCACCGTGTCCCCCCATGACCCTCCCAGTGTCCCCACCACGTCCCCCGTTTTCCCCTCTCCTCTCCCTGTGTCCCCATTGCGTCCCCCCATGTCCCCAGTGTCCCTCCTTGTCCTCCCCGTGTCCCCCCATGATCCCCCAAGTGTCCCCCCCGTGTCCCCTATGGCACCCCCCCATATCCCCGCTATGTCCCCATCATGTCCCCCTGTGTCCTCCCCATTGTCCCCCCCCCGTGTCCCCATGTCCCCCTTTTTCCCCCCGTGTGTTCCCTTGTGTCCCCCCCGTGTGTCCCCCCTTATCCCCTCCATGTCCCCTGTGTCCCTCCTTGTCCTCCCCGTGTCCCCCCCTCCTCTCCCCGTGTCCCCCCATGATCCCCCAAATGTCCCCCCCGTGTCCCCTATGACCCCCCACACATCCCTCCTGTGTCCCCATCATGTCCCCCTGTGTCCCCCCCATGTCCCCCCCATTGTCCCCCCCGTGTCCCCTCCCGGTCCCACTTTGGGGGTGTCGGGACCCCCCCCTGACCCCCGTGTCCCCCCCAGCCTGGAGCTCCGGGCGTGTTTCAGCTTCAGCGAGAGCCCGGGCAGGGACAGCGCCCCCGCCCCGCTGGGTGAGTGACCCCCGGGACCCCCCAAACCGGGGAGACCCCCCAATCCAGGGACCCCCCATTCCCGAGAGTCCCCCAATCCTGGGAGAACCCCCAGTCCTGGGCATCCCCCCCCATTCCTGAGGACCCCATTTCCTGAGGGTGCCCCCTGTCCCTGGGACACCCTCGCCCATTCTTTGGGGTTCCCCATCCCCGAGGACCCCCCAAACCCCGGGGATCCCCCAGGACCCCAATCCCTGCGCACCTCCATCCTTTGGGACCCCACCCATATTTTGTGCCCGCCATGCTTGGGACCCTCCTCATCCTTCAGACTCCCCCCCATCCTTTGGGACCCCCCCCAAATCTTTGAACCCCTCCATCTTTGGGCCCCTTCCCCATCCCTTGGATCCCCTCCCCATTCTTTGGGGGCCCCCCCCCATCCTTTGTCCCCCAAATCCTTTGGGCCCCTCTCCGTCTTTTGAGACTCCCCCAAATCTCTGAGGCCTCCATCCTTTGGGACCCCTCCCCTTCCTTTGGGACCCCAAATCCTCGAGACCCCTCCCCATCCTTTCGCCCCCTCATCCTTTGGGCCCTTCTCCATCTTTTGGGACCTTCCCAAATCTTTGAGGCCCCCATCTCTTGGGACCCTCCCCATCCTTTGGGACCCCTCCCCTTCCTTTGGGACCTCCCCAAATCTTTGAGCCCCCCCCCCATCCTTGGGGCTCTCCCCATCCCTTGGGCCCCCTCCCCATCCTTTGGGACCCTCATCCTTTTGACCCTCCCCATCCTTTGGGCCCCTTCCCCATCCCTTTGGGACCTTCCCCATCCTTTTGTCCCCCAAATCCTTTATGGCCCCTCCCCATCTTCTGGGAGCCCCCCGGGTCTCTGAGCCCCCCCATCCTTGGGACCCTCCCTATCCTTGGGACACCCCCACATCTCTGCCCCCCCGATCCGTGCCCCCCCAGAGCTGGCGCTGGCGCTGGAGGCGGACTCGGAGCGGCGCCTGCGGGGGCAGCAGCCCCGGGGCTCCTTCCTGGAGCGGGGCCCGGCCGAGCCCGAGCACCGGATCCGGGCCCGGCTGGAGCTGCCCCGGCCGCGGGAGCGGCGCTGCGTGCCCGCCACCTTCCGCCTGCACGTGAGCCGCCTTCATCCTCCTCATCCTCATCCTCATCCCCTTCCTCATCCTCCTTCCACCACCTTCCGCCTGCACGTGAGCCGCCTTCATCCTCCTCATCCTCATCCTCATCCCCTTCCTCACCCTCCTCTTCCGCCACCTTCCGCCTGCACGTGAGCCGCCTTCATCCTCCTCATCCTCATCCTCATCCCCTTCCTCACCCTCCTCTTCCACCACCTTCCGCCTGCACGTGAGCCGCCTTCATCCTCCTCATCCTCATCCTCCTCATCCTCATCCTCCTCATCCTCATCCCCTTCCTCACCCTCCTCTTCCGCCACCTTCCGCCTGCACGTGAGCCGCCTTCATCCTCCTCATCCTCATCCTCCTCATCCTCATCCTCCTCATCCTCATCCCCTTCCTCACCCTCCTCTTCCGCCACCTTCCGCCTGCACGTGAGCCGCCTTCATCCTCCTCATCCTCATCCTCCTCATCCTCATCCTCCTCATCCTCATCCTCCTCATCCTCATCCTCATCCTCATCCCCTTCCTCACCCTCCTCTTCCGCCACCTTCCGCCTGCACGTGAGCCGCCTTCATCCTCCTCATCCTCATCCTCCTCATCCTCATCCTCCTCATCCTCATCCCCTTCCTCACCCTCCTCTTCCGCCACCTTCCGCCTGCACGTGAGCCGCCTTCATCCTCCTCATCCTCATCCTCCTCATCCTCATCCTCCTCATCCTCATCCCCTTCCTCATCCTCATCCCCTTCCTCACCCTCATCCTCCTCTTCCGCCACCTTCCGCCTGCACGTGCGTCACCTTCATCCTCCTCATCCTCATCCTCCTCATCCTCATCCTCATCCCCTTCCTCATCCTCCTTCCACCACCTTCCGCCTGCACGTGCGTCACCTTCATCCTCCTCATCCTCCTCATCCTCCTCATCCTCATCCTCATCCTCCTCATCCTCATCCTCATCCCCTTCCTCATCCTCCTTCCACCACCTTCCGCCTGCACGTGCGTCACCTTCATCCTCCTCATCCTCATCCTCCTCATCCTCATCCTCCTCATCCTCATCCCCTTCCTCACCCTCCTCTTCCGCCACCTTCCGCCTGCACGTGCGTCACCTTCATCCTCCTCATCCTCAGCCTCATCCTCATCTTCAGCCTTATCCTCAGCCTCCTCATCCTCACCTTCCTCTTCCTCATCCTCACCTTCCTCAGCCTCCTCTTCCTCACCATCAGCCCTGTCCCCCATCCCCATCTCCTCCTTCTCCCCATCGTCCCCCCCAGGTGTCCCCAGTGCCCCCCTGACCTTCCTCCCCCCCTCCTCCTCCTCAGGACGACATCCGGGACAAGCTCCGCCCCATCGCCGTCACTCTGTCCTTCTCCATCGCGGGGACCCCGCGGGGGACACGGGGGACACGGGGGACATCGGGGACACGGGGGCGCCGGGGGACGGCGCTGCCCCCACTGGAGCCGGCGCTGAGCCCGCGGCAGCCCAGCACGCTGCGCACCGAGGTGACACTGCCACCGTGTGTCACCTGTGTCACCCTGTGTCACCGTGTGTCACCTGTGTCACCGTGTGTCACTGTGTGTCACCGTGTGTCACCTGTGTCACCCTGTGTCACCGTGTGTCACCTTCTGTGTCACTGTGTCACACACCTGTGTCACCGTGTGTCACCTGTGTCACCGTGTGTCACTGTGTGTCACCGTGTGTCACTGTGTCACACACCTGTGTCACTGTGTCACCCTGTGTCACCCACTGTCCCCAGCGCTGAGCCCGCGGCAGCCCAGCACGCTGCGCACCGAGGTGACACTGCCGCCGTGTGTCACCTGTGTCACCCTGTGTCACCGTGTGTCACTGTGTGTCACCGTGTGTCACTGCGTGTCACGTGTGTCACCGTGTGTCACCGTGTGTCACTGCGTGTCACCTGTGTGACCCTGTGTCACCGTGTGTCACCTGTGTCACCGTGTGTCACTGTGTGTCACCTTCTGTGTCACTGTGTGTCACCCGCTGTGTCACTGTGTCACACACCTGTGTCACTGTGTCACCCTGTGTCACCCACTGTCCCCAGCGCTGAGCCCACGCCAGCCCAGCACGCTGCGCACCGAGGTGACACTGCCGCCGTGTGTCACACCCCTGTGTCACCCCATGTCACCCTGTGTCACCCACTTGTATCACCCTGTGTCCTCTGTGTCCCCCTGTCCCGGTTTGGGACACCGGTAGTGTCCCTTCTGTGTCCTCCTGTCCGTGTGTCCCCCAGTGTCCCTCCTATGTCCCCTAGTGTCCCCCTGTGTCCCCCTTGTCCCGCCTGCAGTGTCCCCTCCTTGCTGGGTGTGTCCCCCCCATCCCGGGCTGTCCCCGCAGTGTCCCCACGTCCCCGCAGTGTCCCCGCAGTGTCTCCGCAGTGTCCCCAGGTCCCCCCATGTCCCCCTCATTGCTGGCTGTGTCCCAGGCTGTCCCCACAGTGTCCCCTGATGTCCCCGTGTCCCCCAGGTGCATTTCCTGCGCCAGGGCTGCGGCGATGACCGGATCTGCCAGAGCCACCTGGAGCTGCGGCCGCGCTTCTGCGCCCGCCTTGGGGACAGCGACTTCCTGGCCCTGCCCCGGTGAGGGGACAGCAGGGGACAGCGCCACCGGGGGGGGATGGGTGGCACTGCCAGCCTGGGGGAACTGCCCCTGAGAGCCCCGGGGTGTCACCAAGGGAGGGACAGGGATGAGGATGGCACTGCCACCTTCTCCCTGAGAGCCCTGGAGTGTCACCAAGGGAGGGACAGGGATGAGGATGGCACTGCCACCTTCTCCCTGAGAGCCCTGGAGTGTCACCAAGGGAGGGACAGGGATGAGGATGGCACTGCCACCTTCTCCCTGAGAGCCCTGGGGTGTCACCAAGGGAGGGACAGGGATGAGGATGGCACTGCCACCTTCTCCCTGAGAGCCCTGGAGTGTCACCAAGGGAGGGACAGGGATGAGGATGGCACTGCCACCTTCTCCCTGAGAGCCCTGGGGTGTCACCAAGGGAGGGACAGGGATGAGGATGGCACTGCCACCTTCTCCCTGAGAGCCCTGGGGTGTCACCAAGGGAGGGACAGGGATGAGGATGGCACTGCCACCTTCTCCCTGAGAGCCCCGGGGTGTCACCAAGGGAGGGACAGGGATGAGGATGGCACTGCCACCTTCTCCCTGAGAGCCCTGGAGTGTCACCAAGGGAGGGACAGGGATGAGGATGGCACTGCCACCTTCTCCCTGAGAGCCCTGGAGTGTCACCAAGGGAGGGACAGGGATGAGGATGGCACTGCCACCTTCTCCCTGAGAGCCCTGGAGTGTCACCAAGGGAGGGACAGGGATGAGGATGGCACTGCCACCTTCTCCCTGAGAGCCCCGGGGTGTCACCAAGGGAGGGACAGGGATGAGGATGGCACTGCCACCTTCTCCCTGAGAGCCCCGGGGTGTCACCAAGGGAGGGACAGGGATGAGGATGGCACTGCCACCTCTGCCACGTCACTGTGAGGGACCAGGGATGTCCCCAAGGTGGTCACAGAGGTAAGGATGGCACTGCCACCTTCACCCTGAGTGCCCAGGGATGTCCCCAAGGCAGTCACATGTACAAGGATGGCACTGCCACCGTGGGGTCGCTGCCCCTGACAGCCCCGGGGTGTCACCAAGGGGGTGACAGGGCAGAGGATGGCACTGCCACCTTGCTATGAGGGACCAGGGATGTCCCCAAGGGAGGGACAGAGGTGAGCATGGCACTGCCACCTTCATCCTGGGTACCAAGGGAGTGACAGGGGTGAGGATGGCACTGCCACCTCTGCCACATCACTGTGAGGGACCAGGGATGTCCCCAAGGTGGTCACAGGAGTGAGGACGGCACTGTCACCTCTCTGCGAGGGATGTCCCCAAGGTGGTCACACGTGCAAGGCTGGCACTGCCATCCTCCCGGGGATGTCCCCAAGGTGGTCACACGTACAAGGCTGGCACTGCCATCCTCCCGGGGATGTCCCCAAGGTGTCACACGTGTCACTGCCCGCAGGGACAAGGATGGCACTGCCACCTCTCTGCGAGGGATGTCCCCAAGGTGTCACACGTGCAAGGCTGGCACTGCCATCCTCCCGGGGATGTCCCCAAGGTGTCACACGTGTCACTGCCCGCAGGGACGAGGACGGCGCTGCCATCCTGGCCATCGGTGACCAGAAGGACGTGGCCCTGGAGCTGCAGGTGACCAACGAGCCCTCGGACCCCGCGCAGCCGCACAGGGACGGGGACGACGCCCACCAGGCCCTGCTGGTGGCATCGCTGCCCCCCGAGCTGCCCTACGCTGCCATCCGGGCCGAGGAGAGCGCGGTGAGAGGGACACGAGGGACACTGGGGACAGGGACGGGGATGGGGACAGGGACACAGGGACCGGGACACAGGGGACAGGGATGGGGCACAGGGACAGGGACACAGGGGACAGGGATGGGGCACAGGGACAGGGACACAGGGACACAGGGGACAGGGATGGGGACAGGGACAGGGACAGGGACAGGGACACAGGGGCCGGGACACAGGGGACAGGGATGGGGACAGGGACAGGGACAGGGACAGGGACACAGGGGCCGGGACACAGGGGACAGGGATGGGGACAGGGACAGGGACACAGGGACACAGGGGACAGGGATGGGGCACAGGGACAGGGACACAGGGGACAGGAATGGGGACAGGGACAGGGACAGGGACACAGGGGACAGGGATGGGGACAGGGATGGGACACAGGGGACAGGGATGGGGCACAGGGACACAGGGGACAGGGATGGGGACAGGGATGGGACACAGGGGACAGGGATGGGGACAGGAACAGGGACAGGGACACAGGGGACAGGGATGGGGACAGGGATGGGACACAGGGGACAGGGATGGGGACAGGGACAGGGACACAGGGGACAGGGATGGGGACAGGGATGGGACACAGGGGACAGGGATGGGGACAGGGACAGGGACACAGGGGACAGGGATGGGGCACAGGGACACAGGGGACAGGGATGGGGACAGGGATGGGACACAGGGGACAGGGATGGGGACAGGGACAGGGACACAGGGGACAGGGATGGGGACAGGGATGGGACACAGGGGACAGGGATGGGGCACAGGGACAGGGACAATACCCACCAGGCCCTGCTGGTGGCATCGCTGCCCCCCGAGCTGCCCTACGCTGCCATCCGGGCCGAGGAGAGCGCGGTGAGAGGGACACGAGGGACACTGGGGACACAGGGGACAGGGACACAGGAACGGGGACAGGGACAGGGATGGAGACAGGGACAGGGACACAGGGGACAGGGGACACAGGGATGGGGACAGGGATGGTGACACGGGAACAGGGATGGGGACGGGGACACAGGGGACAGGGACAGGGGATGGGGACGGCGACAGGAGACAGACACAGGGGACAGGGAACAGAGGGACAGATGGGGACAAGGGACAGGAGGGGCAGAGGGATGGTCCTGGGGGTCACTCTGTGGTCACTCCGGGGGTGACCCCGGGTGCCACAGGGGGGCTCAGGGTTGGGGTCACTCCTGGGGTCACTCCGGGGTCACTCCTGGGTCACTCTGGGTCACTCTGGTGTCACTCTGGGGGTGACCCCGGGCTCAGCCCTGTCCCCCCCGCTCCATTCCCAGGTTCTGTGCTTGGCCAACCCCAACGGCTCCAGGGTGGAGTGCGAGCTGGGGAACCCCCTCAAACGGGGGGCTCAGGTGGGCGCAGCCCCCTCCCCAACCCCGACCCCCGACCCCCCCCGACCCCCCCGAACCCCCCCAGCGCTCACCTGCCCCTCCCCAGGTTCGCTTCTTCCTCATCCTCAGCACCTCGGGCATCTCCATCCACACCACGGAGCTGGAGGTGCTGCTGGAGCTCAACACGTGAGCGGGGCGGGGGGATGGAGACCCCCGGGGGGGCTGGGGACCCCCAAAGTGGGGATGGAGACCCCCGGGATTGGGGGATGGAGACCCTCGGGGGGGCTGGGACCCCCAAAGTGGGGATGGAGACCCCCGGGATTGGGGGATGGAGACCCTCGGGATTGGGGGTGGGACCCCCAGGAGTGGGGATGGAGACCCCCGGGATTGGGGGATGGAGACCCCCGGGGGGGCTGGGACCCCCAAAGTGGGGATGGAGACCCCCGGAAGTGGGGATGGAAACCCCCAAAGTGGGGATGGAGACCCCCGGGATTGGGGGTGGAGACCCCCGGGATTGGGGCTGGGACCCCCGGGAGTGGGGCTGGAGACCCCCGGGATTGGGAACTGGGATCCCAGAGGATTTGGGGCCAGAGCCCCCAGAAATTTGGGGATGGAGACCCCCGGGGTTTGGGGGTCAGACCCCCGGGGTTTGGGGGCTGGAATCCCAGGGGATTTGGGGTTCAGAGACCCCAGAATTTGGGGGTCAGAGCCCCTAGGATTTTGGGGTCAGAACCCCCAGGATTTGGGGCCTGGAATCCCAGGGGATTTGGGAGCTGCAATCCCAGGGGATTTGCGATCAGACCCCCAGGATTTGGGGTTCAGAGCCCCCAGGATTTGGGGTCACAGCCCCCAGACTTTGGGTCCCAGATCCCCCACAGAATTCGGGAACAAAACCCCGGCAGTTTCAGACTCTGCCCCCCCCCCCAACATTTAGGGTCGGGGGGCTGCAATTTGGGGTTCACCCCCCTTCCCCACACGCCCTTTGGGGGTTTTTCCTTTTGGGGTTTCACCCCCCGACCCCAAATCCCCCCCAGGACCAGCGAGCAGCCGGGGCTGGAGCCGGTGGTCGCCCGCGCCCGCGTGGTCATCGAGCTGCCCCTGGCCGTGACCGGGTGAGCGGGGTCGGCTTTGGGGGTTTTGGGGTTTTGGGGGGCTCGGGGGGCCGGTTTGGGGTCGGGACCCCCCCCCCTAACAGCAGGGATGTCCCCACAGCGTGGCCGTGCCCCCCCGGCTGTTCTTTGGGGGGCAGGTGCTGGGGGAGAGCGCGGTGAAGAGGGAGAGCCAGGTGGGCAGCGCCGTCCGCTTCGAGGTCACGGTGAGAGACACCCCGAAATGGAGACACCAAAACAGGGACCCCAAAATGACAGACCCCAAAATGGAGACCCCAAAACGGGCCCCAAAACAGAGACCCCAAAATGGAGACCCCAAAATTACAGACCCCAAAATGGACCCTAAAAACAGAGACCCCAAAATTACAGACACCAAAATGGACCCCAAAATGGAGACCCCGAAATTACAGACACCAAAACAGGGACCCCAAAATGGAGACCCCAAAACGGACCCTAAAAACAGAGACCCCAAAATTACAGACACCAAAATGGACCCCAAAATGACAGACCCCAAAACGGACCCTAAAAACAGAGACCCCAAAATTACAGACCCCAAAATGGAGACCCCAAAATTACAGACACCAAAATGGACCCCAAAATGGAGACCCCGAAATTACAGACACCAAAACAGGGACCCCAAAATGGAGACCCCAAAATGGACCCTAAAAACAGAGACCCCAAAATTACAGACACCAAAACAGGGACCCCAAAATGGAGACCCCAAAATGGAGACCCCAAAACGGGCCCCAAAACAGAGACCCCAAAATGGAGACCCCGAAATTACAGACACCAAAACAGGGACCCCAAAATGGAGACCCCAAAACGGAGACCCCAAAACGGGCCCCAAAATAGAGACCCCAAAATTACAGACCCCAAAATGGACCCTAAAAACAGAGACCCCAAAATTACAGACACCAAAACAGGGACCCCAAAATGGAGACCCCAAAATTACAGACACCAAAATGGACCCCAAAATTACAGACACCAAAATGGACCCCAAAATGGAGACCCCAAAACGGGCCCCAAAATAGAGACCCCAAAATGGAGACCCCAAAATTACAGACCCCAAAATGGATCCTAAAAACAGAGACCCCAAAATTACAGACACCAAAATGGAGACCCCAAAATGGAGACCCCAAAACTACAGACACCAAAACAGGGACCCCAAAATGGAGACCCCAAAATGGAGACCCCAAAATTACAGACACCAAAATGGAGACCCCAAAATGGGCCCCAAAACAGAGACCCCAAAATGGAGACCCCAAAATTACAGACACCAAAACAGGGACCCCAAAATGGAGACCCCAAAACGGGCCCCAAAACAGAGACCCAAAAATGAAGACCCCAAAATGGACCCTAAAAACAGAGACCCCAAAATTATAGACACAAAAACAGGGACCCCAAAATGGAGACCCCAAAATTACAGACACCAAAATGGAGACCCCAAAACAGAGACCCCAAAATGGAGACCCCAAAATTACAGACACCAAAATGGACCCCAAAATTACAGACCCCAAAACGGACCCTAAAAACAGAGACCCCAAAATTACAGACACCAAAACAGGGACCCCAAAATGGAGACCCCAAAACGGACCCTAAAAACAGAGACCCCAAAATTACAGACACCAAAACAGGGACCCCAAAATGACAGACCCCAAAACGGGCCCTAAAAACAGAGACCCCAAAATTACAGACCCCAAAATGGAGACCCCGAAATTACAGACACCAAAATGGAGACCCCAAAACGGGCCCTAAAAACAGAGACCCCAAAATTACAGACACCAAAACAGGGACTCCAAAATGGAGACCCCAAAATTACAGACACCAAAATGGACCCCAAAATGGAGACCCCGAAATTACAGACACCAAAACAGGGACCCCAAAATTACAGACACCAAAATGGAGACCCTAAAACGGGCCCCAAAACAGAGACCCCAAAATGGAGACCCCAAAATTACAGACACCAAAATGGACCCCAAAATTACAGACCCCAAAACGGACCCTAAAAACAGAGACCCCAAAATTACAGACCCCAAAATGGAGACCCCAAAATTACAGACACCAAAACAGGGACCCCAAAATGGGCCCCAAAACAGAGACCCCAAAATGGAGACCCCAAAACGGACCCTAAAAACGGAGACCCCAAAATTACAGACACCAAAATCACAGACACCAAAACAGGGACCCCAAAATGGAGACCTCAAAATGGAGACCCCCAAAATGGAGACCCCCAAAACGGACCCTAAAAACGGAGACCCCAAAATTACAGACCCCAATATGGAGACCCCTAATTGGACCCTAAAAACAGAGACCCCAAAACGGAGATCCCAAACTGGACCCAAAAACAGAGACACCAAAATGGACCCCAAAACAGAGACCCCAAAATAGAGACACCCCAAAACCAGAAACCCACAAAATGGACCCCAAAACAGAGACCCCAAAATAGAGACCCCAAAACGGAGACACTCCCAAAACAGAGACCCTCCCCCCCTGCACCAGGACCCCAAAACCAAAATGGGGTCAGGATTCCATACAGGGGCTGTTTTTGGGGTTCAGGGCCATTTCCGTCCGTGCCCCCCAGGTGTGGCAGTGGGTTGTTTTTGGGGTCGGGGCTGTTTTTGGGGTGAGGGCTGTTTTTGGGGCTGGGGGCTATTTCTGGGTTCAGGGTTGAGGTTGTTTTTGGGGTCATGGCTCCATACAGGTCCTGTTTTTGGGGTTCAGGCCCATTCCCATCCTTCCCCCCCCAGGTGTTGCAGCAGGGGCCGGTGCTCAGGACCCCTGGCTCGGGTGTTGTTTTTGGGGGTTCAGGGCTGGTTTTGGGGCTGGGGGCTATTTCTGGGTTCGGGACTGTTTTGGGGGTTCAGGGCTGTTTTTGGGGCTGGGGGCTATTTCTGGGTTCGGGACTGTTTATGGGGCTGGGGGCTATTTCTGGGTTCAGGGCTGTTTATGGGGGTTCAGGGCTGTTTTGGGGGTTCAGGGCTGTTTTTGGGGCTGGGGGCTATTTCTGGGTTCAGGGCTGTTTTGGGGGTTCAGGGCTGTTTTTGGGGCTGGGGGCTATTTCTGGGTTCAGGGCTGTTTTGGGGGTTCAGGGCTGTTTTTGGGGCTGGGGGCTATTTCTGGGTTCAGGGCTGTTTTGGGGGTTCAGGGCTGTTTTTGGGGCTGGGGGCTATTTCTGGGTTCAGGGCTGTTTTGGGGGTTCAGGGCTGTTTTTGGGGCTGGGGGCTATTTCTGGGTTCAGGGCTGTTTTGGGGGTTCAGGGCTGTTTTTGGGGCTGGGGGCTATTTCTGGGTTCAGGGCTGTTTATGGGGGTTCAGGGCTGTTTTTGGGGCTGGGGGCTATTTCTGGGTTCAGGGCTGTTTATGGGGGTTCAGGGCTGTTTTGGGGGTTCAGGGCTGTTTTTGGGGCTGGGGGCTATTTCTGGGTTCGGGGCTGTTTATGGGGGTTCAGGGCTGTTTTTGGGGCTGGGGGCTATTTCTGGGTTCAGGGCTGTTTATGGGGGTTCAGGGCTGTTTTGGGGGTTCAGGGCTGTTTTTGGGGCTGGGGGCTATTTCTGGGTTCAGGGCTGTTTATGGGGGTTCAGGGCTGTTTTGGGGGTTCAGGGCTGTTTTTGGGGCTGGGGGCTATTTCTGGGTTCAGGGCTGTTTTGGGGGTTCAGGGCTGTTTTGGGGGCTCAGGCCCATTTCCCCCCCATGCCCCCCAGGTGTCGCAGCAGGGGCCGGTGCTCAGGACCCCTGGCTCGGGTGCTGTTTTTGGGGCTGGGGGCTGTTTTTGGGGGGTTCAGGGCTATTTTTGGGGGTTCAGGCCCATTTTGGGGGTTCAGGCCCATTCCCATCCCTTCCCCCCAGGTGTCGCAGCGGGGGCCGGTGCTCCGGACCCCCGGCGCGGCCGCCCTGACCGTGCAGTGGCCGCTGGAGCTGCCCAACGGGAAGTGGCTCCTGTACCCGCTGAGCCTGGAGCTGGGCACCCCCCCCGTGCCCTGCAGCCCCCCGGGCAACCCCCTGCGCCTGGCCCTGGTGAGACTGGGGGGCCCCGGGGGGGGCGGGAGTGACCAGGGGGTGCCCAAGGGTGTCCTGGGCGTTTGGGGCGGTGTCCAGAGGTGTCCTGGGGTGTCCAGGGAGTGACCAGGGGGTGCCCAAGGGTGTCCTGGGCGTTTGGGGCGGTGTCCAGAGGTGTCCTGGGGGTGTCCAAGGATGGCCAGAGGTGTCCTGGGGGTGTCCTGGGGTGGCCAGGGGTGTCTGGGAGTGGGGCACAAGGGTGCCCGGGGGTGTCCATGGGGTGTCCAAATATGTCCAGGGGTGTCCTGGGGGTGCCCAGAGATGTCCAGAGGTGTCCAGGGGTGCCCAGGGGGTGGCCAAAGATGTCCAGGGGTGTCCAGAGGTGTCCTGGGGTGTCCAGGTGAGCCCAGGGGTGGCCAAAGGTGGTCAGGGAGTGTCCAGAGAGTGACCAGGGGTGTCCAAAGGTGTCCAGAGGTGTCCAGAGGCATCCTGGGGTGTTTGGGGTGGTGTCCAGGAGTGTCCAGGGGTGTCCAAAGGTGTCCAGAGGCATCCTGAGGTGTTTGGGGTGGTGTCCAGGGGTGACCAGGAGTGTCCAGGGGTGTCCAAAGGTGTCCAGAGGTGCCCAGAGATGTCCAAGGGATGGCCAGAGGTGTCCAGGGGTGCCCAGGGGGTGGCCAAAGGTGTCCAGGGGTGTCCAAGTGAGCCCAGGGGGTGCCCAGGGACGTCCAGGGGTGGCCAAAGGTGGTCAGGGAGTGTCCAGGGAGTGACCAGGGAGTGACCAGGGGTGTCCTGAGGTGTTTGGGGTGGTGTCCAGGGGGTGTCCAGGGGGTGTTCAGGGGTGTCCAGGGGTGGCCAAAGGTGGCCAGAGGTGGCCAGAGATGTCCAAGGGATGGCCAGAGGTGTCCAGGGGTGCCCAGGGGGTATCCAGGGATGCCCAGGGGTGCCCAGAGGTGTCCAAAGCTGTCCAGAGGCGTCCTGGGGTGGTGTCCAAAAATGTCCAGGAGTGTCCACGGGTGCCTAGGGGTGCCCAGGGGTGCCCAGGGGTGCCCGGGGGTCTCTGTCCCCCCTTTCCCATGCCCATCTTTGCCCCCCCAGGAGCCGCCAGGCCGGGGGGAGCCCCCTGAGGAGCCCCCAGCCCGCTCGTGGTGGGTGCCCGCGGGGAGGAAGAGGAGGAACGTGACCCTGGTGAGTGGAGGGGGGGGGGGGTGGGTTTGGGGGGGTTTGGGTTTGGGGGGGCACCTCATGGGGTTTGGGGTCCTCCTCCTTTGGGGGGCTCCTGTTCCTGGGATCCCCCTGGTCCCAGTGCCCCATTTTGGGGTGTCCCCATTCCCGAGGCCACTCCATTCCTGGTGTCCCCCTGCTCTGTCCTGCCCTGTTCTGGTGTCCCCCCATTCCTGGTGTCGCTACACTGTCCCCCCCATGCCTGGGATGTCCCCCTGTCCCCACCCTGTCCCCACCCTGTCCCCACACTGTTCCCTTGCTGTGCCGCTGTCCCTGGGATGTCCCCCTATTCCCAGGGGAATACTCCCAGATGTCCCCAGGTGTCCCCACCCTGTCCCCATACCCTCGGGGTGTCCCCTCACTGTCCCCACCCTGTCCCCTCTGTGCCAGGACTGTGCCCGGGGCACAGCCCGGTGCCGCCCGTTCCGGTGCACCCCAATCCCCGGGATGTCCCCATATTGTCCCCTCACTGTCCCCACCCTGTCCCCTCGCTGTCCCCTCTCTGTTATCCCAGGACTGTGCCCGGGGCACGGCTCGGTGCCGCCCGTTCCGGTGCACCCCAATCCCCGGGATGTCCCCACACTGTCCCCTCACTGTCCCCTCACTGTCCCCTCGCTGTCCCCTCTCTGTTATCCCAGGACTGTGCCCGGGGCACGGCTCGGTGCCGCCCGTTCCGGTGCACCCCAATCCCCGGGATGTCCCCACACTGTCCCCTCACTGTCCCCTCACTGTCCCCTCGCTGTCCCCTCTCTGTTATCCCAGGACTGTGCCCGGGGCACGGCTCGGTGCCGCCCGTTCCGGTGCCCGCTGCCGTCGCTGGAGCGCTCGGAGCTGCGGGCGCGGGGGCGTCTCTGGAACGGGACCTTCCTGGAGGTCAGGAGAGACCCCCGGGGTGGGGAGGGGGCTCAGCCCGGCCGGGACCCCTCCCCAAATTCCCAATTCCCCAAATTCCCCAAATTCCCATCCCAGGAGTTCCTGGACGTGGAGAACCTGGAGCTGATCGTGCGCGCCGAGGTCTCGGTGTCCTCCCCCCGCGGCAACGTCGTCATCAGGGACGCGGTGGCACAGGTGGGGACACCCCTGGGGACACCTGGGGACACCTCTGGGGACATCTTCAGGGACATCCCTGGGACCCTCAGACACTCCTGGGGACACCTGGGGACACCCAGGGGCACCACTGGGGACATTCCCATGGACATTCCTGGGGACACCCCCGGGGACACCCCTGGGGACACCTGGAAACACCCCTGAGGACACCCCTGGGGACACCCCTGGGGAAACCTGGGGACATCCGTGGAGACACCCAAGACCCCCAGACCCCCCTGAGGACACCCCCAGAACCTCCCCATGATCCCCTCAGAGACCCCCCCCCCGCCAATGTCCCCTGATGTCCCCATGACTCCCTGTGACCCCAGTGACCCCCAGTGACCCCGGTGTGACCCCCGTGTGACCCCTGTGACCCCGCAGATGTCGGTGTCCCTGCACCTGGACCCGGGCGTGGCCGTCACCGCTGTGCCCTGGTGGGTGCTGCCGCTGGCGGTGCTGCTGGGGCTGCTGCTGCTGGCGCTGCTCGTGCTGGGGCTCTGGAAGGTGAGGGACCCCCCTGCTATCGCGATATGGCACGATAGAACACGACATATCGCGATACACCACGATACAGCGCAGCACATCGCGATACGGCACCACAGAACATAGCATGCCACGATATGGCACGATACAATGCGGCATATCGCGATGTACCCCTTGCTCTCTGGTGCCATATCATGATATCTCACGCTGTCTGGTGCCATATCGTGATATACCGAGTGCTCTCCGGTGCCATATTATGATATCCCGCTCTGTCCAGTGCCATATCATGATATAGTCTCCACTCTCCGATGCCATATTGCGATATATCCCATGCTTTCTGGTGCCATATCGCGATATACCCCACACTGCCTGGTGCCGTATCGCGATATCTCACTGTGTCCGGTGCCATATCGCGATATATCGTTCTGTCCTGTGCCGTGTCACGATATCTCACTCTGTCTGGTGCCATATCATGATATCTCGCTCTGTCTGCTGCCATATTGTGATATCTCACTCAGTCCAGTGCCATATCATGGTATATCACTCCGTCTGGTGGCATATCATGATATGTCACTGTGTCTGGTGCCATATCGCGATATGTCACTGTGTCCTGTGCCATATCATGATATATCTCACTCTGCCCGGTGCCATGTCGCGATATATCCCGCTGTCCGGTGCCATGTCGCGCTATGTCACTGTGCCCGGTGCCATGTCGCGATATCCCCGTGCCCTGTCTCCCCAGCTGGGATTTTTCCGGCGGGCGGCGGCGGCCCCGCCCCCGGCCGTGCCGCGGTTCCGGGCCGTGCGAATCCCGCGGGAGCAGCGGCCCCAGGCCCGCGAGGGCCACACCGGAACCATCCTGCGGCCACAGTGGGCGGCCGGACCCACGGACAGGGACGGCGCCGGCGCCGCGCCCGGACCCGCCTGACGGACACCAGGACAGACGGACACAGCATGGACACAGGGATGGACACGGGATGGACATGGGAGGGACCCACGGACAGGGACGGCGACGGCGCCGCGCCCGGAGCCGCCTGACGGACACGGCATGGACAGACGGACGCAGCACGGATGGACAGACGGACGCGGCACGGATGGACAGACGGACACGGCACGGATGGACAGATGGGCACGGCTGGAGAGACGGACATGGCTGGATAGACAGACACGGCTGGACAGACGGACACGGCACAGATGGACAGATGGACACAGCACGGACAGACAGACATGGGACGGATGGACACAGCATGGATGGACAGATGGACACAGCTGGACAGACGGACACGGCACAGATGGACAGATGGACACAGCACAGACACGGGGATGGACATGGCATGGACAGATAGAGACAGCTGGACAGACAGACACACGGCACAGATGGACACATGGACACGGCATGGACACGGGGATGGACATGGCATGGACAGACGGACATGGGAGGGACAGGGATGGGGACAGCACTGCGCCAGGACCCACCCGACCAACACCGACAGACAGAGGGACATGGCACAGACACATGGACATAGCACAGATGGATATGGACAGACAGATGGACATGGGGATGGACATGGGGATGGACATGGCATGAGCACAGCGGGGACAAATGGACACAGGGATGGACAGGGGACATGGACAGATGGACACGGGGATGGACACAGCTGGACAGATGGACACAGGACATGGATTAATGGACATGGGGATGGGCACGGGGATGGACACAGCTGGACAGATGGACATGGGATGGACATGGGACGGACATGGGATGAACATGGGACAGGGATGGGCTGCAGACACCTGGACCCACATGAGGGACATCTGGGGTGGACACAGGGTGGACTCAGGACATGGGATAAGGGACACCAGACACGGGACAGAGGACAGGGGACACCGGACAGGGGACACCGGAGAGGGGACAGGGACGGTCCCTGGCTGTGCCCTGGGAAGGCCCCATGGAGGCCCTGCCATGTCCTGGAGCCCCCAGGACGGGCAGTGGCCGGACAGAGCCACGGCCTCAGGGGTCAGTTCGGCCCCGGAGGTCATTTTGTCCCCACGGGTCACTTTTTGTCCCCAATAAAATGCGCTGACCCCACACTGACCCCGAGTGATCCTTCAGTGTCCAGGGTTTGCCGCCATGATGACTATGGGGGCCGCCATGATGGGTGTGCCGACCGCCATGTTGAGTGTGGGGGCCGCCATGATGGTTGTGGCAGCCTCCATGATGGGACTGGCCGCTCCACCGTCAGGCCCGACCGTATCTCCGGACTAACCGGACACGCCCTCATCTCACGGCTCCGTTCCGGCCGCTCCGAACCCGCCACAACCCCGGTAACGGCGCCTGAAGCGCCCCCAGGGCGGCCCTGCCCACACTCAACATGGCGCCGCACTCTGAGGCTTCAGCGGAGCCTCCAACATGGCGGCGCCCGTGACGTAAATCTGCTTCCGGCGCGCGCCGGAAGTGGCGCCGCCATGGCGGCCGGGAGCTGCCGGGGCTGGTGAGGCCTTGGGGACACCGGGAGGGGATTTGGTGACACCGGGAGGGTTTTGGGGACACCGGGAGGGGCTTTGGTGACACCGGGAGGGCCTTGGGGACAGCGGTGGTGGCGGTCGGGGCGGGGAGGTCGGGATCGCGCCCGCGTCAGGCCCGGGTTTGGGGCTGGCGGCGCCGTGAGGGCCCCGCCCCTTCTTCGTGTCACCTCAGTGTCCCCTCAGTGTCCCCAGACCACCCGTGTCCCCCTTCTGTCCCCCTCTTGTTCCCAGTCCCTCCTCGTGTCCCCTCCGCTGTCCCCACTGTCCCCAGTTGTCCCTCAGTGTCCCCCAGGGTGTGGTGGCACCCAGGAGGTGACGCTGAGGGTCCTTTGTCCCCTCCCTGTCCCCTCCCCTGTGTCCCCATTGTCCCCAACCCCCTCCCCAAGTGTGGTGTGACCCCTGAGGTGACACTGGGGTGACATTTCTGTGTCCCCAGATGCCACCATGGCCACCAGTGTCCCCTCCATGTCCCCCTGCCCTGTGTCCCCATTGTCCCCAGGCTGTGTCACAGTCCTGGCGTGACACTGAGGTGACACAGGTGACACTGAGGTGACACTGAGGTGACATTTTTGTGTCCCCAGATGCCACCATGGCCACCAGCCGCTCCGAGGACGAGGAGTCCCTGGCGGGGCCCAAGCGGGGCCCGGCCACCCCCGTGGGGACTGTCCCCAAACGGCGCAGCTCCTCCAGGTAAGGGACAATGGGGACATTGGGGACATTGGGGACACCAGGGACAGAAGGGGACCCAGGGACAGCCAGGGGACACAAGGGACACACAGGACAGGGACTGTCCCCAAACGGCGCAGCTCCTCCAGGTAAGGGACACCCAGGGGACATTGGGGACACCAGGGACAGGGAGGGGACACAGGGCAGGGACTGTCCCCAGACGGCGCAGCTCCTCCAGGTAAGGGACACTGGGGACATTGGGGACACCAGGGGACATTGGGGACACCAGGGGACAGTGGGGACAGGGAGGGGACACAGGGCAGGGACTGTCCCCAAACGGCGCAGCTCCTCCAGGTAAGGGACACACAGGGGACATTTGGGACACCAGGGACAGGGAGGGGGCACAGGGCGGGGACTGTCCCCAAACGGCGCAGCTCCTCCAGGTAAGGGACACACAGGGGACATTTGGGACACACAGGGGACACAGAGAGGGGACACGGAGGGACAGGAGGGGATGGGGAGGAGGTGGGGACACAAGGAGGGGACACAGGGGTGGCGATGGGGACAGGGAGGGGACAAGGGGGGACACAAAAGGACAGGAGGGGACACAGGGAGGGGACACAAGGGGAGGTTGGGGGGTTTGGGTCTGAGCCCAGCCCGGGATGGGGTTGGGGACACTTGGGGACACTCCAGGGGGACCCCGTGGTCCCTCCCAGTCCCTCCCAGTCCATCCCAGTTAACTCCAGTCAATCCCAGTCCCTCCCAGCTCCATCCCTGTCAATCCCACTGGTTCCCACTCCCTTTCCAGTGGCTCCCAGTCCCTCCCAGTCACTCCCAGTTCATTCCAGGTTCATCAAGTGTCGGAAATTCAACAATGAGCTGGTTGGGTCCAGCCTGGCCAAGCCCCCAGTCAATCCCAGTCCCTCCCAGTCCCTCCCAGTCACTCCCAGTTCATTCCAGGTTCATCAAGCGTCGCAAGTTCGACGACGAGCTGGTCGAGTCCAGCCTGGCCAAGCCCCCAGTCCATCCCAGTCCATCCCAGTTAACTCCAGTCAATCCCAGCTCCCTCCCAGTGCCCCGTGCTGCCCTCCCAGTGGTTCCCAGTCCCTCCCAGTGGCTCCCAGTCAATCCCAGTTAACTCCAGTCCCTCCCAGTGGTTCCCAGTCAATCCCAGTTCATTCCAGGTTCATCAAGCGTCGCAAGTTCGATGACGAGCTGGTCGAGTCCAGCCTGGCCAAGCCCCCAGTCCATCCCAGTTAACCCAAGCTCCCTCCCAGTCCATCCCAGTTGATTCCAGTCCATCCCAATGATTCCCAGTCCATCCCAGCTCCCTCCCAGTGGTTCCCAGTCCCTCCCAGTCACTCCCAGTTCATTCCAGGTTCATCAAGCGTCGGAAATTCGATGACGAGCTGGTCGAGTCCAGCCTGGCCAAGCCCCCAGTCCGTCCCAGTCCATCTCAGTTAACTCCAGTCAATCCCAGCTCCCTCCCAGTGGTTCCCAGTCCCTCCCAGTCCCTCCCAGTCACTCCCAGTTCATTCCAGGTTCATCAAGCGTCGCAAGTTCGATGACGAGCTGGTCGAGTCCAGCCTGGCCAAGCCCCCAGTCCATCCCAGTTAATCCCAGTTAACCCCAGTCCATCCCAGCTCCCTCCCACTGGTTCCCAGTCCCTCCCAGTCCCTCCCAGTTTGGTTTCCAGGTTCATCAAGCGTCGGAAATTCGATGACGAGCTGGTCGAGTCCAGCCTGGCCAAGCCCCCAGTCAATCCCAGTTAATCCCAGTTAACTCCAGTCCATCCCAGCTCCCTCCCACTGGTTCCCAGTTCCTCCCAGTCCCTCCCAGTCACTCCCAGTTCATTCCAGGTTCATCAAGCGTCGGAAATTCGATGACGAGCTGGTCGAGTCCAGCCTGGCCAAGTGCCCCAGTCAATCCCAGTTAATCCCAGTTAATTCCAGTCAATCCCAGCTCCATCCCAGTCCCTCCCAGTCCCTCCCAATGGTTCCCAGTGGCTCCCAGTTAATCCCAGTTTGTTCCAGGTTCATCAAGCGTCGGAAATTCGATGACGAGCTGGTCGAGTCCAGCCTGGCCAAGTCCTCGCGGGCCAAGGGGGGCCCTGAGCCCCCCCCCAGACCCGGGGGGGCCGCAGGGCCGGTGGGGGGGGGAGGGGCGGCCGCCGAGCCCCCCCCGGGAGAGAGGAAAAAGGTGAGGAAATTGGGAAAAAATGGGAATTTTGGGGAAAATGGGGGAATTTGGGGAAAATGGGAGAATTTGAGGAAAATATGGGGGGGGGGGGTGGGGATTTGGGAAAATGTGGGAATTTGGGAAAAAAAATGTGGGAATTTGAGGAAAAAATATTTGGGAATTTGGGGAAAATTTGGGAATTTGGAGGGGAAAAGGGGGGGATGGGGGGAATTTGGGAAAAAAATGGGAAATTTGGGATTATGGGGGGAAAATATGGGGGGAATTTAAGGAAGAAAGGGGGGGAATTGGGGAAAAAATACGAATTGGGGGAATATGGGAATTTGGGGAAATATGGGAATTTGGGGGGCAAAATATGGGAATTTTGGGGGGAAATGGGGGAATTTGGGGGGAAAAATGTGGGAAATTTATGGGGGGGAAATTTGGGATTATGGTGGGAAAATATGGGGGGAATTTAAGGAAGGAAAGGGGAATTGGGGAAGAAATGGGAATTAGGGGAATGTGGGAGTTTTGGGGGGGAAAATATGGGAATTGGGGAAAATGGGAACTTGGGGGGAAAGGGGGGGGGAATTTGGGGATTTGAGGGAAAAATGGGAAAATGGAGTTTGGGGAAGAAGGGGAGGAATTGGGGAAAAATGGAAATTGGGGGGAAAATTTGGGATTATGGGGTTTGGGGGGAAAATGGGAATTTGGGGGTTTGGGGAAGAAAGGGAGGAATTTGGGGGGGGGAAGGAGGAAATTTGGGGGAAAAAGGGGGGAGTTGGGGAAAATATGGGAATTTGGGATCTGGGGGGAAAAGGGGGGATTTGTGGGATTTGTGGAAAAAAGGAAAAAGGGGAAATTGGGAGCACCCCCCTAATGTCACTCAGGGACATCTTGGGGACACTGGGGACACTCAGATGTCACCCCAGGTGTCACCCCAGGTGTCACCACCCCCCCTGTCCCCCCCAGGTGTCCCGGGCCGTGCCCCCTCCCACCTTTTACAGACCCTCCCCAACCAGTCAGGGACATCTTGGGGACACCGGGGACCCCTCAGGTGTCCCCCAAGACCCCTCAGGTGCCACTTGGGACCCCTCAGGTGTCCCCAAGACCCCTCAGGTGCCCCCCAGGTGTCCTGGGCTGTGTCCCCCACTCACTCAGGGACATCTTGGGGACACTGGGGACACTCAGGTGTCACTCAGATGCCACTTGGGACCCCCTCAGGTGCCCCCCAAGACCCCTCAGGTGTCCCCAAGACCCCTCAGGTGCCCCCCAGGTGTCCTGGGCTGTGTCCCCCACTCACTCAGGGACATCTTGGGGACACTGGGGACACTCAGGTGTGACTCAGGTGCCACTTGGGACCCCTCAGGTGCCCCCAGGACCCCTCAGGTGTCCCCAGGACCCCTCAGGTGCCACCTGGGAACCCTCAGGTGTCCCCAGGACCCCTCAGGTGTCCCCAGGACCCCTCAGGTGCCCCCCAGGTGTTTCAGGTTGTGCCCCCCCCACTCAGTCCGGGGCATCCTGGGGACACTCGGGTGCCACCTGGGACCCCTCAGGTGTCACTCAGGTGTCCCCCAGGTGTCACTCAGGTGTCACCCCCCCCCCCGTCCCCCCCCAGGTGTCCCGGGCCGTGCCCCCCCCGCCCCCCCCCGGGCCCGGCCCCCCCCCGGCGCTGCCCAAGAGGCTCAAGAAGAGCAAACCCAGCCCCGCCCCCCGCGACCTGGGCAGGTGGAAACCCGCGGACGATCTGCTGCTCATCAACGCTGTGCTGCAGGTCAGGCTCACCTGGGGGGCTGGGGAGACACCCACACACCTGGGGGACCCCCACACACCTGGGGGAACCCCCAAACCCCGGGGAAAATCCGCCTTGATTGGGGGATTGGGGGGATTTTTGGGGGAATGTCCAGAACGGTCACTTGGGACCCAATGGGTTCTTGTGGTGCAGATCAGACACACCTGGGGGGCTTTGGGGGAGGTTTTGGGGGTCTCTCCTCACCTGGAGGGACTTGGCGGACCCCCTCCTCAATTGGGGGACCCTCACCCACCTGGGGGAACCCCCAAATCCCGGGGAAAATCCACCTTAATTAAGGGATTTGGGGGGGAACCCCAAGGAGGGGACCTGGGCCGGGCAGGTGGAAACCCGCGGACGATCTGCTGCTCATCAACGCTGTGCTGCAGGTCAGGCTCACCTGGGGGGCTGGGGAGACACCCACACACCTGGGGGACCCCCACACACCTGGGGGAACCCCCAAACCCCGGGGAAAATCCGCCTTGATTGGGGGATTGGGGGGATTTTTGGGGGAATGTCCAGAACGGTCACTTGGGACCCAATGGGTTCTTGTGGTGCAGATCAGACACACCTGGGGGGCTTTGGGGGAGGTTTTGGGGGTCTCTCCTCACCTGGAGGGACTTGGCGGACCCCCTCCTCAATTGGGGGACCCTCACCCACCTGGGGGAACCCCCAAATCCCGGGGAAAATCCACCTTAATTAAGGGATTTGGGGGGGAACCCCAAGGAGGGGACCTGGGCCGGGCAGGTGGAAACCCGCGGACGATCTGCTGCTCATCAACGCTGTGCTGCAGGTCAGGCTCACCTGGGGGGCTGGGGAGACACCCACACACCTGGGGGACCCCCACACACCTGGGGGAACCCCCAAACCCCGGGGAAAATCCGCCTTGATTGGGGGATTTGGGGGATTTTTGGGGGGAACCCCCAGAATGATGACTTACGGCCCAACGGCTTCTTATGGTGCAGGTGAGGGCACACCTGGGGGGTTTTGGGGACCTCTCCTCACCTGGAGGGACTTGGGGGACCCCCTTCTCAATTGGGGGAACTCTCACCCACCTGAGGAACCCCCACAAACCTGGGAAAACCCCCCTTGATTGGGGATTTTGGGGAGATTTTGGGGGGAACCCCAGAACGGTCACTTAGGACCCAATGGTGTCTTATGGAACAGGTGAGACACACCTGAGGGGTTTGGGGGAGGTTTTGGGGGTCTCTCTTCACCTGGATGGACTTGGGGGACCCCCTCCTCAATTGGGGGACCCCCACCCACCTGAGGAACCCCCACAAACCTGGGAGAACCCCCCTTGATGGGGGAATTTGGGGGGGAACCCCAGAACGGTCACTTAGGACCCAATGGCTTCTTACGATGCAGGTGAGGTCACACCTGGGGGCTTTTGGGGGGGTTTTGGGGGTCTCTCCTCACCTGGAGGGACTTGGGGGACCCCCACCCAGCTGGGGAACCCCCCCTCAATTGGGGGAACCCCCAAAGCCCGCGGGACCCCCTTTAATTGGGGAATTTTGGGTGATTTTGGGAGGAACCCCAGAACGCTCACAATGGTTCTTTATGGTGCAGGTCAGACCCACCTGGGGGGCTTTGGGGGCTCCCCCTCACCTGCCGGATTTGGGGGTGACCCCAGCACCCCCAGGACCCCTCCCCTGTTGATTTTTGGGGTGTTTTTGCCCCCCCAGACCAACGACCTGACCTCGGTGCACCTGGGGGTGAAGTTCAGCTGCCGCTTCACCCTGCGCGAGATCCAGGAGCGCTGGTACTCGCTGCTCTACGACCCCGTCATCTGCAAGTGAGGGACATTTGGGGGTCCTGGGGGGTCTTTGGGGGTCCCACAGGTGCGGGGGGGTCGTGGGATTCAGGGGACACAGGTGACATTTGTGTGACACCTGTGTGGCACCCATGGGGCACCCATGGGACACTTGTGTGACACCCAGGAGCGCTGGCACTCGCTGCTCCAGGACCCCGTCATCTGCAAGTGAGGGACATTTGGGGGGTCCTGAGGGGCTTCTGGGGGTCTTTGGGTGGTCCCAGGGGTCTCACAGGTGTGGCAGGGTCATGGGATTCAGGGGACACAGGTGACATTTGTGTGACACCCATGGGACACCTGTGTGACACCCAGGAGCGCTGGCACTCGCTGCTCTATGACCCCGTCGTCTGCAAGTGAGGGACATTTGGGGGTCTTTGGGGGTCCTTGGGGGTCTTTGGGGGGTCCTGGGGGGTCTTTAGGGGTCCTGGGGGGGTCTCACAGGTGTGGGGGGGTTGTGGGATTCAGGGGACACAAGTGACACCCATGGGACACCTGTGTGACACCCAGGAGCGCTGGCACTCGCTGCTCCAGGACCCCGTCATCTGCAAGTGAGGGACATTTGGGGGTCCTGAGGGGCTTCTGGGGGTCTTTGGGTGGTCCCAGGGGTCTCACAGGTGTGAGGGGGTCGTGGGACTCGGGGGACACAGGTGACACCCATGGGACACCAATGGGACACCCATGGGACACCCAGGAGCGCTGGCACTCGCTGCTCCACGACCCCGTCATCTGCAAGTGAGGGACATTTGGGGGGTCCTGAGGGGCTTCTGGGGGTCTTTGGGTGGTCCCAGGGGTCTCACAGGTGTGGGGGGGTTGTGGGATTCAGGGGACACAGGTGACATTTGTGTGACACCCATGGGACACCTGTGTGACACCCAGGAGCGCTGGCACTCGCTGCTCCACGACCCCGTCATCTGCAAGTGAGGGACATTTGGGGGGTCCTGGGGGGTCCTGGGGGGGTCCCACAGGTGTGGGGGGGGTCGTGGGATTCAGGGGACACAGGTGACATTTGTGTGACACCAATGGGACACCCGTGTGACACCCAGGAGCGCTGGCACTCGCTGCCCTACGACCCCGTCATCCGCAAGTGAGGGACATTTGGGGGTCCTGGGGGGTCCTGGGGGGTCTTTAGGGGTCCTGGGGGGGTCCCACAGGTGTGGGGGGGTCGTGGGATTCAGGGGACACAGGTGACAGCAGGGGGACACAGGTGACATTGGTGTGACACCCATGGGACACCCGTGTGACACCCAGGAGCGCCGGGAGCTTCTGCTTGAGGACCCCAGGAGGGTCCCAGGTGTCCCCAGGGGGGTCCCAGGGATTTGGGGACAGTCCCAGAGGTGTCACCTGTGTCCCCAATGTCCCCAGGCTCATGCCAGGCCGTGGGCTGTCCCTGAGGGGTGTCACAGCTGTCCCCAATGTCCCCAATGATGTCCCCAGGCTCTCATGCCAGGCCATGGGACTGTCCCTGAGGGATGTCCCAGTGGTGTCACACATGTCCCCAGTGTCCCCAATGATGTCCCCAATGGAGTCCCCAGGCTGTCGTGCCAGGCCATAGGGCTGTCCCTGGGGTGTCCCAGGGGTGTCACACATGTCCCCAATGTCCCCAATGATGTCCCCAATGTCCCCAATGATGTCCCCAGGCTGTCGTGCCAGGCCATAGGGCTTTCACAGGGGTGCCACAGGGGTGTCACACCTGTCCCCAATGTCCCCAATGTCCCCAATGATGTCCCCAGGCTGTCGTGCCAGGCCATGCGGCAGCTGCACCCCGAGGGTTGGGGTGCCACAGGGATGTCCCCAATGTCCCCAGTGTCCCCAATGATGTCCCCAGGCTGTCGTGCCAGGCCATAGGGCTGTCGCAGGGGTGCCACAGGGGTGTCACAGGGATGTCCCCAATGATGTCCCCAATGTCCCCAATGTCCCCAGGCTGTCGTGCCAGGCCATAGGGCTGTCACAGGGGTGCCACAGGGGTGTCACAGGGGTGTCCCCAATGATGTCCCCAATGTCCCCAATGATGTCCCCAGGCTGTCGTGCCAGGCCATAGGGCTGTCACAGGGGTGTCCCAGGGGTGTCCCCAATGATGTCCCCAATGTCCCCACTGTCCCCAGGCTGTCGTGCCAGGCCATAGGGCTGTCACAGGGGTGTCACAGGGATGTCCCCAATGATGTCCCCAATGTCCCCAATGATGTCCCCAGGCTGTCGTGCCAGGCCATGCGGCAGCTGCACCCCGAGGCCGTGGCCGCCATCCAGAGCAAGGTGCTGTTCAGCAAGGCCGAGGAGCAGCTGCTGACCCGCGTGCCATCGGTCAGTGTCCCCAAATGTCCCCAGATGTCACCTCATGTCACCTCATGTCACCTCATGTCACTCCCCTGACCCGCGTGCCATCGGTCAGTGTCCCCAAATGTCCCCAGATGTCACCTCATGTCACCTCATGTCACCCCCCTGACCCGCGTGCCATCGGTCAGTGTCCCCAAATGTCCCCAGATGTCACCTCATGTCACCTCATGTCACCTCATGTCACTCCCCTGACCCGCGTGCCATCGGTCAGTGTCCCCAAATGTCCCCAGATGTCACCTCATGTCACCTCATGTCACCCCCCTGACCCGCGTGCCATCGGTCAGTGTCCCCAAATGTCCCCAGATGTCACCTCATGTCACCTCATGTCACCCCCCTGACCCGCGTGCCATCGGTGAGGGACTGTCCCCAAATGTCCCTAAATGCCACCTCATGTCATCCCCCTGACCTGAGTGCCATCGGTCAGTGTCCCCTAGTGTCACCTAATGTCACCTAATGTCACCTAATGTCACCTAACATCACTCCCCTGACCCGCGTGCCATCGGTCAGTGCCACCTAATGTCCCCAAATGTCACCTCACGTCACCTCATGTCACCCCCCTGACCCGCGTGCCATCGGTCAGTGCCACCAAATGTCCCTAAATGTCACTTAATGTCACCTAACATCACCCCATTGCTGCTGACCCGAGTGCCATCAGTCAGTGCCACCTCATGTCCCTTAATGTCACCTAATGTCACCTAACATCACCCCCCTGACCCGAGTGCCATCGGTCAGTGTCCCCTAGTGTCACCTAGTGTCACCTAATGTCACCTAACATCACTCCCCTGACCCGCGTGCCATCGGTCAGTGCCACCAAATGTCCCTTAATGTCACCTAATGTCACCTCATGTCATCCCCCTGACCCGAGTGCCATCGGTCAGTGCCACCTAGTGTCCCCAAATGTCACCTCATGTCACCTGACATCACCCCCTGCTGCTGACCCGAGTGCCATCGGTAGGGACTGTCCCCAGATGTCCCCAAATGTCCCCTAACGTCACCCCCCTGACCCGAGTGCCATGGGTCAGTGCCACCAAGTGCCACCCCATGTCACCTAATGTCACCTAATGTCACCTAATGTCATCCCCCTGACCCGAGTGCCATCGATCAGTGTCCCCTAATGTCACCAAATGTCCCCAAATGTCACCTCATGTCACTTAGCATCACCCCACTGCTGCTGACACGAGTGCCATCGGTGAGGGACTGTCCCCAAATGTCCCCTGACGTGTCCCCAGCTGTCCCCAGAGCCCTGTCCTGTCCCTGGACACCTTCCAGGACCTGCTGCATGTCATGTTTTACCCTGCCAGGACCTGTCCCCTGCCATGCCCCATGTCCCTGTGTCTGTCCCTTGGTGTCCCCTGCCATGTCCCCATGTCCCCAAATGTCCCCAAACGTCCCCAAATGTCCCCAGAGCCCGGTGCCCTCGCTGGACACCTTCCAGGACCTGTGACAGGCTGTGTTTTACCCTGCCGGGACCTGTCCCTTGCCCTGTCCCCCTCACCCTGTCCCCATGTCACTTGGTGTCCCCTGCCATGTCCCCAACTGTCCCCAGAGCCCTGTCCCCTCACTGGACACCTTCCAGGACCTGCCACACACCATATTCTACCCTGCCAGGACCTGTCCCCTGCCATGCCCCATGTCTCTTGCTGTGTCCCCTGCCCTGTCCCCGTGTCCCCTGGTGTCCCTTGGTGTCCCCAAATGTCCCTTGATGTCCCCAGAGCCCGGTGCCCTCGCTGGACACCTTCCAGGACCTGTGACAGGCTGTGTTTTACCCTGCCGGGACCTGTCCCCTGCCCTATCCCCACATCCCCTCACCCTGTCCCCATGTCACTTGGTGTCCCCTGCCATGTCCCCAAATGTCCCCAGAGCCCTGTCCCCTCACTGGACACCTTCCAGGACCTGCCACACACCATATTCTACCCTGCCAGGACCTGTCCCCTGCCATGCCCCATGTCTCTTGCTGTGTCCCCTGCCCTGTCCCCGTGTCCCTTGGTGTCCCTTGGTGTCCCCAAATGTCCCTTGATGTCCCCAGAGCCCTGTCCTGTCCCTGGACACCTTCCAGGACCTGTGGCATGTCATGTTTTACCCTGCCGGGACCTGTCCCATGCCCTATCCCCACGTCCCCTCACCCTGTCCCCGTGTCCCCTGGTGTCCCCTGGTGTCCCCAAATGTCCCCAAACGTCCCTTGATGTCCCCAGAGCCCGGCGCCGTCCCTGGACACCTTCCAGGAGCTGCTGCAGCGCCACCCGGCCGTGTTTTACCCTGCCAGGACCCCCAAGGCCCTGCAGCTGCACTGGCAGCTCCTGCGCCAGTACCACCTGCTGCAGGACCAGACAGGTGGGCAGGGGGCTTGGGGGGGGGCTGGGGGGTCCCGGGGGGATTTGGGGGGTCCCAGGGGGGATTTAGTGGTGATTTAGGGGGTCCCAGGGGGGTTTTGGGGGGTCCTGGGAGGTTCAGAGACCCCCAAAGTGCAGCAGTACCTGCACCTGTAACACCTGGACAGGACCAGACAGGTGGGGAGGGGGCTTGGGGGGGGTTTGGAGGGGGTTTGGGGGGATTTGGGGGGTCCTGGAAGGGTTTTAGTGGTGATTTAGGGGGTCCCAGGGGGGTTTTGGGGGGTCCTGGGAGGTTCAGGGACCCCCAAAGTGCAGCAGCTCCTGCGCCAGTACCACCTGGACAGGACCAGACAGGTGGGCAGGGGGCTTGGGGGGGGGCTGGGGGGTCCCGGGGGGATTTGGGGGGTCCTGGAAGGGTTTTAGTGGAGATTTAGGGGGTCCCAGGGGGGTTTTGGGGGGTCCCAGGGGGGTTTTGGGGGGTCCTGGAAGGTTCAGAGACCCCCAAAGTGCAGCAGTACCTGCACCTGTAACACCTGGACAGGTGGGGAGGGGGCTGCAGGGGGTCCTGGGGGGGTTTTGGGGGAATTTAGGGGGAGTTTGGGGGTCCCTGAGGGGATTTTTGGGTTCTGACCCCCCCCCGGTCCTGCATGCGGCCCCTGCCCGAGGGGGATCGGGTGGGATTTGGGATTTTTGGGGTTTTTTTGGGGTTTTTTTGGTGATATTTTGGGGTTCTGACCCCCCCGGTCCTGCAGTGCAGCCCCTGCCCAAGGGGGATTTGGGGTTTTTTGGGTTTTTTTGGGGGGATTTTGAGTTTTTTTGGGGTCTGACCCCCCCCTGCTCCTGCATGCAGCCCCTGCCCGAGGGGGATTTGGGGATCCCAGGTGGAATTTGGGGGTTTTTGGGTTTTTTGGGAGGATTTTTGGGATCTGACCCCCCCTGCTCCTGCAGTGCAGCCCCTGCCCAAGGGGGATTTGGGTTTTTGGGGGTTTTTGGTGATATTTTGGGGGGACTTTGGGGATTTTTGGGGTCTGACCCCCCCTGCTCCTGCAGTGCAGCCCCTGCCCAAGGGGGGTCAGGTGGGATTTGGGATTTTTGGGATTTTTTTTGGGGTTTTTTTGGTGATATTTTGGGGTTCTGACCCCCCCTGCTCCTGCAGTGCAGCCCCTGCCCAAGGGGGATTTGGGTTTTTGGGGGGGTTTTTGGGGGATTTTTTGGGGGGACTTTGGGGATTTTTGGGGTCTGACCCCCCCTGCTCCTGCAGTGCAGCCCCTGCCCAAGGGGGATTTGGGTTTTTGGGGGGGTTTTGGTGATATTTTGGGGGGACTTTGGGGATTTTTGGGGTCTGACCCCCCCTGCTCCTGCAGTGCAGCCCCTGCCCAAGGGGGGTCAGGTGGGATTTGGGATTTTTGGGGTTTTTTTGGGGTTTTTTTGGGGTTTTTGGTGTTTTTGGGGTCTGACCCCCCCTGCTCCTGCAGTGCAGCCCCTGCCCAAGGGGGATTTGGGCTTTTGGGGGGGTTTTTGGGGGATTTTTTGGGGGGATTTTTGGGGTTTTTTGGGGTCTGACCCCCCCTGCTCCTGCAGTGCAGCCCCTGCCCAAGGGGGATCAGGTCCTGAATTTCTCCGACGCCGAGGAGCTGCTGGACGATGGCAAACTCAGGTGGGGCTGGGGGGGGATTTGGGGGGATTTTGGGGGGTCCTGGGGCAGTTATGGGGGGTCTGAGAGGGATTTTGGGGGGAATTTGGGGCATCTGGAGGGGCTTGGGGGGATTTGGGAGGGTCTGGGGGGGCTTTGAAGGATAGGGGGGGTATTGGGGGGATTTTGGGGTTGGTTGGGGGAAATTTGGGGGGTCAGGGGGGGCTTAGAGGGGTTTGGGGGGTCCTGGGGAGCTTTTGGGGGGGAATTTTGGGAGGTTTGGGGGGTCTGGGGGGATTTTGGGGGGCTCGGGGGCAGTTTTGGGGGGGGATTTGGGGGGTTGGAGGAGTTTGGGGGTGTCTGAGGGAGATTTGGGGTTTTTTGGGGGGGGATTTGGGGTTTTTGGGGTCTCTGTGTCACCTCTCACTCCCCACAGGGACGTGCGGGACGAGGTCCTGGAGCACGGTGAGAGCGCTGGAACCTCTGTCTGTCTGTCTGTCCGTCCGTCAGAGCTGACCCTGTCTGTCTGTCTGTCTGTCTGTCTGTCCATCAGAGCTGACCCTGTCTGTCTGTCTGTCCGTCCGTCAGAGCTGACCCTGTCTGTCCGTCTGTCTGTCTGTCAGAGCTGACCCTGTCTGTCTGTCTGTGCGTCCGTCAGAGCTGACCCTGTGTCTGTCTGTCTGTCTGTCCGTCCGTCAGAGCTGACCATTGCTGACCCTGTGTCTGTCTGTCTGTCTGTCTGTCCGTCCATCAGAGCTGACCGTTGCTGACCCTGTGTCTGTCTGTCTGTCTGTCCATCAGAGCTGACCCTGTCTGTCTGTCTGTCAGAGCTGACCCTGTGTCTGACCCTGTCTGTCCATCAGAGCTGACCCTGTCTCTGTCTGTCTGTCTGTCCGTCCATCAGAGCTGACCGTTGCTGACCCTGTGTCTGTCTGTCTGTCCGTCCATCAGAGCTGACCGTTGCTGACCCTGTGTCTGTCTGTCTGTCTGTCCGTCCATCAGAGCTGACCCTGTGTCTGTCTGTCTGTCTGTCCGTCCATCAGAGCTGACCGTTGCTGACCCTGTGTCTGTCTGTCTGTCTGTCTGTCCGTCCATCAGAGCTGACCGTTGCTGACCGGCGCCAGAAGCGCGAGATCCGGCAGCTGGAGCAGGAGCTGCACCGCTGGCAGGTGCTGGTGGACTCCATCACAGGTGGGTGCGGCCGTCCGTCCGTCCGTCCGTCTGTCCATCCCTGTGTCCATCCATCTGTCCCCGTGTCCCTCTGTCCCCAGGGATGAGTTCCCTGGATTTGTCCCCATTGTCCGTCTGTCCCATCACTGTCCCCTGGCTGTCTGTCTGTCCCGTCACTGTCCCCATTGTCCCCATTGTCCGTCTGTCCCCTCACTGTCCGTCTGTCCGTCCGTCCCAGGGATGAGCTCCCCGGATTTCGACAGTCAGACTCTGGCCGTGCTGCGGGGCCGGATGGTTCGGTACCTGATGCGCTCCCGCGAGGTGAGACCCAAAAAACCCCGAAAACATCCCCCAAAACCACCCCAAAAACACCCGAAAACATCCCCAAAAACCCCAAAACATCCCCAAAAACCACCCCAAAAACCCCCAAAAACCACCCCAAAACCACCCCAAAAACCACCCCAAAACCACCCCAAAAACCATCCCCAAAAACCACCCCAAAACCCACCCCAAAAACATCCCAAAAACCACCCCAAAAACACCCCGAAAACATCCCCCAAAACCACCCAAAAACATCCCCAAAAACCACCCCAAAAACCCCCAAAAAACATCCCCCAAATACCCCAAAACATCCCCAAAAACCACCCCAAAACCCACCCCAAAAACATCCCCCAAAACCACCCCAAAAACATCCCCAAAAACATCCCCAAAAACCACCCCAAAACCCACCCCAAAAACATCCCCAAAAACCACCCCAAAACCCACCCCAAAAACCCCGAAACATCCCCAAAAACCACCCCAAAACCCACCCAAAAACATCCCCAAAAACCCCCCCCAAAAACATCCCCAAAAACCCCAAAACATCCCCAAAAACCACCCCAAAAACCCCCAAAAAACATCCCCAAATACCCCAAAAACCCCAAAAACCATCCCCGAAACCATCCCAAAACCATCCCAAGACACTCCAAAACCATCCCCAAAAACACCCCAAAAATACCCCCAAAACCATCCCCCAAAAGTACCCCAAAAACACCCCATAAAAACCCCCAAAACAGCCCAAAGACACCCCAAAAACATCCCCAAAAATACCCAAAAAACACCCCCAAAATACCTCCAAACACCCCAAAAACACCCTAAAACCCCCCCACAAAACATCCCCAAAACCACCCCATAAAACACCTCAAAAATACCCCCAAAACACCCCAAAAACATCCCCCAAAAACACCCCCAAATCCCCCAAAAATACCCCCAAAAACATCCCCAAAACCCCAAAAACCACCTTTAAATACCCCACAATACCCCTGAAACATCCCCCAAAATACCAAAGCCACCCCAAAAACACCCCCCAAAATACCCAGAAATATCCCTAAACCCCAAAAAACGCCCCTAAATACCCCAAAACCTCACCTGGGACCCCCCAAAAATCCCAAAAAACCCCAAATCCCCCAGATCACCCCAAGACCCCTCCGAAAACCTCAACAACACCCCCCAAAAACCCCCCAAAACCCACCCAAAACCCCAAAAAACTTCACAAACTCCCTGTGAGGACTCCCCCAAAACCCATCAAAACCCCAAAAATCCCCAAAAACCCCAAAAAAACCCCAAATCCCCCCAGATCACCCCGAGATCCCTCCAAAAACCCTCGGCAACACCCCACAAAAACCCCATAAAACCCCCCTAAAACCTCAAAAACTCCACAAATTCCACTTGAAGAGCCCCCAAAAAAACCCCAAAAAACCCCAAAACCCCCAAAAAACCCCAAATCCCCCAAAAAACCCCAAATCCCCCCAGATCACCCCGAGACCCCTCCATAAACCTCAGCAACTCCCCACAAAAACCCCATAAAACCCCCCTAAAACCCCCAGAAAAACCCCAAAAACTCCACAAATTCCACTTGAAGAGCCCCCAAAAAACCCCAAAACCCCAAAAAAACCCCAAAAATCCCCAAAACCCCCCCAAAAAAACCCCAAATCCCCCCCAAAAACCCCAAATGTCCCCAGATCACCCTGGGCAGAGCCACCAAGGACAACCAGATCGACGTGGACCTGGCCCTGGAGGGCCCAGCCTGGAAAATCTCCCGCAAGCAGGGTGGGTTTGGGGTTTTTTGGGGGGATTTGGGGGTTTTTGGGGTCCCCCACGGGTTTGGGGGGGTCCTCACTGGGATTTTGGGGAGTTTTTGGGGTTTTTTGGGGGTTTTTTTGGGGTTTCTTTGGAGGTTTTTATGGGGTTTTTGGGGGGAGTTGCTGAGGGTCTCGGGGTGATCTTGGGGGGCATTTGGGGTTTTTTGGGGGGATTTGGATTTTTTTGGGGTCCCCCAGGGGTTTGGGGGGGTCCTCACTGGGATTTTAAGGAGTTTTTGGGGTTTTTTTGGGGTTTTTTTGGGGTTTCTTTGGAGGTTTTTATGGGGTTTTTGGGGGGAGTTGCTGAGGGTCTCGGGGTGATCTTGGGGGGATTTGGGGTTTTTTGGGGGGATTTGGATTTTTTTGGGGTCCCCCAGGGGTTTGGGGGGGTCCTCACTGGGATTTTGGGGAGTTTTTGGGGTTTTTTTGGGGTTTTTTTGGGGTTTCTTTGGAGGTTTTTATGGGGTTTTTGGGGGGAGTTGCTGAGGGTCTCGGGGTGATCTTGGGGGGGATTTGGGGTTTTTTGGGGGGATTTGGATTTTTTTGGGGTCCCCCAGGGGTTTGGGGGGGTCCTCACTGGGATTTTGGGGAGTTTTTGGGGTTTTTTTGGGGTTTTTTTGGGGTTTCTTTGGAGGTTTTTATGGAGTTTTTGGGGGGAGTTGCTGAGGGTTTTGGAGGGGTCTCGGGGTGATCTTGGGGGGGGATTTGGGTTTTTTTGGGGGGATTTTTTGGGGTTTTGGGGTTTTTCTGGGGGGTTTTGAGGTCCCCCCATGCATTTGGGGATATTTTGGGATGAATATCCAGGGATTTTTGGGGGTTTTTGGGTGGTTTTTTGGGGATTTTTGGGAGCTTTTTATGGGGTTTTTGAAGGGATGCTGGGGGGAGATTTAGGGTTTTTTTGGGGAGCATTTGGGGTTTTTTGGGGTTTTTTAATGGGGTTTTTGGATGGATCTCAGGGGGTTTTGGGTTTTTTTGGGTATTTTGGGATCCCCCAGAGGGTTTTGGGATTTTTTTTGGGGATCCTCCAGGGATTTTTGGGGGGTTTCTGGGTGGTTTTTGTGGCGTTTTTGGGGTTTTTGAAAGGATTCCCATCTGAAGGGTGATCTGAGGGGGATTTGGGGTTTTTTTGGGTTTTTTGGGGGTATTTTGGGGTTCCTCAGGGAGTTTTGGGTTTTTTTTGGGTGGGTTTTGAGGTCCCCCATACATCTGGGGATATTTTGGGTTTTCCTGAAGGATTTTTGGGGCCATTTTTGGGGCATTTCTATCAAATCTCCATTTTTCCACCAACCCTTTCCCCACCATTTAACCCCCCCAAAACCCCCCCAAAACCCCCCCAAAACCCTCAGGGGTTGTGGGGAACCTTTTGGAATTTTTGGGAATTCCCGGAAATCCCCCAAAATTGCCGAAATTCCCGAATTTTTCCCCCTTTTTCCAGGGGTGATCAAGCTGAAGAACAACGGGGAATTCTTCATCGCCAACGAGGGCCGGCGGCCGATCTTCATCGACGGCCGCCCCGTGCTGGGGGGCAGCAAATGGAAACTCAGCAACAACTCCGTGGTTGAGGTGGAATTTGGGGGTCCCTGAAGGGATTTTGGGGGGTCCTGGAGGGGTTTGGGAGGGATCTGGGGGAGATTTGAGGCGTTTTAGGGGGTCCTGGAGGAGTTTTGGGGAGTTCCGAAGGGGTTTTGAGGGGGATTTGAGGAATCCTGGGGGGGATTTGGGGGGTCCTGGAGGGATTTGGGGGGTCCCCAAAGGCTCTTGGGGAGGTTTTGAGGTGCCCTGGGGGGATTTGGGGGGAATCTGGGGGGGTCCTGGGGGGGGAATTTGGGGGGTCCCAGAAGGGTTTGGGGGGGATTTGGGGTCGATCTTCATCGACGGCCGCCCCGTGCTGGGGGGCAGCAAATGGAAACTCAGCAACAACTCCGTGGTTGAGGTGGAATTTGGGGGTCCCTGAAGGGATTTTGGGGGGTCCTGGAGGGGTTTGGGGGAGATTTGGGGGGTCCTGGAGGGGTTTGAGGGAGATTTTGGGGGGATTCTGGGGGGTTTTGGGACAGTTTGGGGGAGATTTCTGGGGTCCTGGGGAGGATTTGGGGGGTCCTTGAGGAGTCCTGGGGGGTTTTGGGGGGATTTTAGGGGGTCCTGGAGGGAATTTGGGGGGTCCTGGAGGGGTTTGGGGGGTCCTGGGGGGAATTTGGGGGTCCCAGAAGGGTTTGGGGGGATTTTAGGGAGTCCAGGGAGGATTTGGGGGGGTCCTAAGGGCCATTTGGGGGAGATTTGGGGGGTTCTGAGGGGTTTTGGAGGTCCCAAGATTTGGGGAGGGGTCTCTGGAGGATTCCGATTTGGGGGGATTTTGGGGAGGGGTCCCAGGATTTGGGGAGGGGTCCTGGGGGGGGATTTTGGGGTCTCTGGGTTTTATGGGGGGTCTCAGGGATTTTGGGGGTCTCAGGGATTTGGGGGGGGGTCCTGGGGGGGGATTTTGGGGTCTCTGGGTTTTATGGGGGTCTGTGGGATTTTGGGGAGGGGTCCTGGGGGGGGATTTTGGGGGTCCTGGGGGGGGATTTTGGGGGTCTGTGGGATTTTGGGGAGGGGTCCTGGGGGGATTTTGGGGTCTGTGGGATTTTGGGGAGGGGTCCTGGGGGGGGATTTTGGGGTCTCTGGGATTTTGGGGTCTCTGGGTTTTTGGGGGTCTGTGGGATTTTGGGGAGGGGTCTCACCGCCCCTCCCCCCCCCCAGATCGCCAGCCTGCGCTTCGTGTTCCTGATCAATCAGGAGCTGATCGCGATGATCCGCAGCGAGGCCGCGCGCCTCGGCCACCAGTGACACCAGTATGGACCAGTACAGACCAGTATGGGACTGGGAGTGTCCCAGTGACACCAGGGACACCAGTGACACCAGTACGGACCAGTACGGACCAGTATGGGACTGGGACGGGACTGGGAGTGTCCCAGTGACACCAGGGACACCAGTACGGACCAGTACGGACCAGTATGGGACTGGGACGGGACTGGGAGTGTCCCAGTGACACCAGTGACACCAGTGACACCAGTGACACCAGTACGGACCAGTACGGACCAGTATGGGACTGGGAGTGTCCCAGTGACACCAGGGACACCAGGGACACCAGTGACACCAGTACGGACCAGTACGGACCAGTATGGGACTGGGACGGGACTGGGAGTGTCCCAGTGACACCAGGGACACCAGTGACACCAGTACAGACCAGTATGGGACTGGGAGTGTCCCAGTGACACCGGGGACACCAGTATGGCACCAGTACGGACCAGTACGGGACTGGGACGGGACTGGGAGTGTCCCAGTGACACCAGGGACACCAGTACGGACCAGTACAGACCAGTTTGGGACTGGGAGTGTCCCAGTGACACCGGGGACACCAGTGACACCAGTATGGACCAGTACGGACCAGTATGGGACTGGGACGGGACTGGGAGTGTCCCAGGGACACCAGTACAGACCAGTACAGCACTGGGAGTGTCCCAGTTTGGGACTGGGAGCCTCCCAGTAACACCAGTGTGGGACTGGAATTGTCCCAGTAACACCAGGGACACCAGTTTGGGACTGGGAGTGTCCCAGTGACACCAGTACGGACCAGTATGGGACTGGGATGGTCCCAGTGACACCAGTATGGCACCAGTACAGACCAGTACGGGACTGGGAGTGTCCCAGTTTGGGACTGGGAGCCTCCCAGTGACACCAGTATGGACCAGTAGCTACCAGTGCGGGACTGGGATCATCCCAGTGACATCCCAGTAACACCAGTATGAGACTGGGACTGTCCCAGTGACACCAGGGACACCAGTAGGGAACCAGTGACACCAGTACAGACCAGTTTGGGACTGGGACGGGACTGGGATGGTCCCAGTAACACCAGTGCGGGACTGGGAGTGTCCCAGTGACACCAGTACGGACCAGTTTGGGACTGGGATTGTCCCAGTGCTCCCAGTTTGGGACTGGGACCATCCCAGTGACCTCCCAGTAACACCAGTAGCGGACTGGGACCATCCCAGTTTTAGACTGGGATCCTCCCAGTGCTCCCAGTTTGGGACTGGGAACGCTCCCAGTGTTCCCAGTTTGGGACTGGGACCCTCCCAGTAACACCGCTGTGGGACTGGGATCCTCCCAGTTTGGGACTGGGACTGTCCCAGTAACACCAGTAGGGGACTGGGACCATCCCAGTTTTAGACTGGGATCCTCCCAGTGCTCCCAGTATGGGACTGGAATTGTCCCAGTGCCACCAGTTTGAGATTGGGATCATCCCAGTGCTCTCCCAGTGACACCAGTTTGGGACTGGGACCATCCCAGTTTTAGACTGGGATCCTCCCAGTGCTCCCAGTTTGGGACTGGGACTGTCCCAGTGACCTCCCAGTGCTCCCAGTATGAGACTGGGACCATCCCAGTATGGGCCTGGGACCCTCCCAGTAACACCAGTATGGGACTGGAACTGTCCCAGTGACACCAGTTTGAGATTGGGATCATCCCAGTAACACCAGTATGGGACTGGGATTGTCCCAGTGCTCCCAGTTTGGGACTGGAACCTTCCCAGTGCTCCCAGTTTGGGACTGGAATTGCCCCAGTGCCACCAGTTTGGAACTGGGACCCTCCCAGTGCTCCCAGTTTGGGACTGGGACCCTCCCAGTAACACCAGTTTGGAACTGGGATAATCCCAGTGCTCCCAGTTTGAGATTGGGACCCTCCCAGTGACCTCCCAGTGCTCCCAGTTTGGGACTGGGATTGTCCCAGTGCCACCAGTTTGGGACTGGGACCCTCCCAGTGCTCCCAGTTTGGGACTGGGATTGTCCCAGTGCTCCCAGTTTGGGACTGGAACCTTCCCAGTGCTCCCAGTTTGGGACTGGAATTGCCCCAGTGCCACCAGTTTGGAACTGGGACCCTCCCAGTGCTCCCAGTTTGGGACTGGGACCCTCCCAGTAACACCAGTTTGGAACTGGGATAATCCCAGTGCTCCCAGTTTGAGATTGGGACCCTCCCAGTGACCTCCCAGTGCTCCCAGTTTGGGACTGGGATTGTCCCAGTGCCACCAGTTTGGGACTGGGACCCTCCCAGTGCTCCCAGTTTGGGCTGGGCTGAATTTCCTCGGAATTGCCCCAAAATTTCCCCCCCAAATCCCAAATTTTGGTCCCTTCCCAAAACCCGAAATTCCCGAATTTTTAAAGCTCCAAAGTTTTTATTGGATTTGTTCTCAAGTTTTGTTCGTTGAAGGGGAAAATTCCCCAAAGAAAAAAAGAAAAAAGAAAACAAAAAACCCCAAAAGTTGGGAAAAATATAGGAAAAAAAAAAGGGGGAAATTGGGGAATCTCCCAAAATTCCCAAAAAAATCCCAAAAATTTGGGGCTGGGATTGGGGTGTGGGGAGGGAGGGGAGGAAATTCCTGAAATAAATTCCAGAGAAAACCCAAAAATGGTGGAGTGTGATGGGGGGAGGGGGGACAGCACAAATCCCAAAGGGAAATCCCAAAAAAATCCCAAATTCCAAAGGGAAATTCCAAAGGGAAATCCCAAATTCTGGGGGGAAAATCCCAAATCCCAAAAGGAAATCCCAAATTTCAAAGGGAAATCCCAAATTCCAAAGGGAAATACCAAATTCAGGGGGGAAAATCCCAAATGGAAATCCCAAATCCCAAAGGGAAATCCCAAAGGGAAACCCCAAATCCCAAAGGGAAATCCCAAAAAAATCCCAAATTTCAAAGGGAAAATCCCAAATTTTGGGGGGAAAATCCCAAATTCCAAAGGGAAATTCCAGAGGGAAATCTGAAATTCCCAAAGAGAAATCCCAAAGGGAAAAATCCCAAATACTGGGGAGGGGGAAATCCCAAATCCCAAAGGGAAAATTCCCAAATTTTTGGGGGAAAATCCCAAATGGAAATCCTGAATCCCAAAGGGAAATCCCAAAAAAAATATCCCAAATTCCAAAGGGAAAATCCCAAATTCTGGGGGGAAAAATCCCAAATTCCAAAGGGAAATTCCAGAGGGAAATCTGAAATTCCCAAAGAGAAATCCCAAAGGGAAAAATCCCAAATATTGGGGGGCAAATCCCAAATGGAAATCCCAAATTCCAAAGGGGAATCCCAAATTCCAATGGGAAAATTCCCAAATTTGGGGGGTCAGGAATGAAGGGACCCCCCCCAAATCCTACAGGGAACATCCCAAATTCCTGAGGGACATCCCAGATCTTGGGAGACCCCAAAATCCAAATTTTATCCCTCAAAATCCCAAATTTCCCCCAAAATCCCAAATTTCCCCTTTCCAAAATCGCAAATTTCCCCCCAAATCCCAAATTTCCCCCAAAATCCCAAATTTCCCCTCTCCAAAATCCCAAATTTTGCCCCCAAAATCCCAAATTTCCCCCCAAAATTTTCCCCAAAATCCCAAATTTTCTCCCCATTCGCTGCCAGCGCGAGGTTGGGGTTGGGATTTTGGGATTTTGGGAATTTTTTGGGGGGGGAAAAATTTTGGGATTGGGACAAAAGCAAAGCCCAAAAATCCCAGTGGGAAAAAGACGGGAAGAGGGGGGAAAAAAGAGGGGGAAAATTGAAAAAGGGGGGAAAATGAGGGGAAAAAATGGGGGAAAATGGGGAAAAAAAAGGGGAAAAAAGAGGGGAAAAATGGGAGGAAAATGGGGAAAAAAGGGGAAAAATTGGGAAAAAAATGGAAAAAAAGAGGGGAAAAAATGGGGAAAAAAGGGGGGAAAATGGGAAAAAAGGGGGAATGGCACAGTGGGGTGTGTAAACGTTCCCAGGATGGGACCCCAAACCCCATCCCCAGTTTTGGGGTTCAGGCATTGGCCCCCTCAGGGCGGCTCCTGCGCGGCCCCGGGCGGCTCCGGGCGGGTTTGGGGTCCCCGGGGGGTTTGGGGGATTTGGGGTTTTCGGGGTTTTTGGGGTTTTTGGGGTTTTCGGGGTTTTTGGGGGGTTTGGGATTTTCGGGGTTTTTGGGGGGTTTGGGATTTTCGGGGTTTTTGGGGTCCCCTGGGGGTTTGGGGTTCTCGGGGGATTTGGGGGTTTTGGGGTTCTCGGGGGATTTGGGGGTTTTGGGATTTTTGGGGTTCTCGGGGGGTTTGGGGTTCTCTGGGTTTTTGGGGTTTTTGGGGTTTTTGGGGGTCCCTGGGGGGCGCTGGGGCTCCGGGCGGGCTCCGGCTGCTCCCGGGGGGTTCCGGCTGCGCTGGGGCGGCTGCGGGAGAAGGGGAAATGGACCCAAATCCCAGATCCTGGAAATGATCCCAAATCCCAAACCCTGGGAATGATCCCAAATCCAAATCCCAAACCCTGGGAATGATCCCAAACCCTGGGAAATGATCCCAAATCCCAAACCCTGGGAATGATCCCAAATCCCAAACCCTGGGAAATGAACCCAAATCCCAAACCCTGGGAATGATCCCAAATCCCAAATCCTGGGAAATGAACCCAAATCCCAAATCCTGGAAATGATCCCAAATCCAAATCCCAAACCCTGGGAATGATCCCAAATCCCAAACCCTGGGAAATGATCCCAAATCCAATCCTGGAAATGAGCCCAAATCCCAAATCCCAAACCCTGGAAATGATCCCAAATCCCAAACCCTGGGAATGATCCAAATCCCAAATCCTGGAAATGATCCCAAATCCAAACCCTGGGAAATGATCCCAAACCCCAAACCCTGGGAATGATCCCAAATCCCAAATCCCAAACCCTGGGAAATGCCCAAACCCTGGGAAATGATCCCAAATCCCAAATCCCAAATCCCAATCCCAATCCCAATCCCAATCCCAATCCCAAATCCCAATCCCAAATCCCAAATCCCAAATCCCAATCCCAATCCCAATCCCAATCCCAATCCCAAATCCCAAATCCCAATCCCAATCCCAATCCCAATCCCACCTGTGGGCTCGGGGGGGTGGCTCCGTTGGGGCGGCGCCGCCCTGGGGGGATCCCGGGGCCGATCCCGGAGCCGATCCCGATCCCGTTGGGAATTCTGGGGCTCCTGGGGGGGATCCTGGGGCTGCTCCCAATGTTGATCCCGTTGGGAATGTTGTGGTTGATCCCATTGTTGATCCCATTGTTGATCCCGTTGTTGATCCCGTTGTTGCTGATCCCGCTGTGGATCCGGGGCTGGAGCTGCAGCGGGAGCGGCTGGAATAGCTGGGCCTGGGGTGGGAAACTGCGGAGAGAGGGACTGGGAATACTGGGAATACTGGGAATGGGACTGGAATACTGGGTAATGGGACTGGGAGCACTGGGAGAACTGGGAATGGGACTGGAAATACTGGGAATGGGACTGGGAATACTGGGAATGGGACTGGGGAGCACTGGGAATGGGACTGGGAGCACTGGGAGAACTGGGAATGGGACTGGAAATACTGGGAATGGGACTGGGAGCACTGGGAATGGGACTGGGAGCACTGGGAGAACTGGGAATGGGACTGGGAATACTGGGAATGGGACTGGGAATACTGGGAATGGGACTGGGAGCACTGGGAATGGGACTGGGAGCACTGGGAGAACTGGGAATGGGACTGGAAATACTGGGAATGGGACTGGGATTAATGGGACTGGGAGCACTGGGAACACTGGGAATGGACTGGGATTCATGGGGCTGAGAACACTGGGAGCACTGGGAATGGGACTGGGAATGGGACTGGGAGCACTGGGAGCACTGGGAGCACTGGGAATGGGGCCGGGCTCCAAGTGGGAGACTCCAGACCTGCCTTAACCAGATCAGGAGAAATTCCCAAGGGATTTTTCCTGGGATTTTTTGGAATTCCAGCCCCACCTTGCCCGAAGACATTCCCAGGGCAGTTTTCCTGGAATTTTCCCAGTTTTTTCCCTTTTTTTTGGGAATTCTGGACCCACCTTGCCCGAACACTGGGGTCTCTCCCAGAGCAGCTTTCCAGGGTTTTTCCATGGGATTTTCTGGGAATTCCCAGGTTTTTATGGAATTCCAGCCCCACCTTGCCCGAAGGCCGGGGCCACTCTCAGGGCAGATTCCTATGAGTTTTCCCCAGGATTTTTCCCAATTTTTTTCCCATTTTTTTGGGAATTCCAGCCCCACCTTGCCCGAAGGCCAGGGACATTCCCAGGGCAGCTTTCCCAGGTTTGTCCATGGGATTTTTTGGGAATTCCAATTTTTTTTTTTGGGAATTGCAGGCCCACCTTGCCCGAAGGCTGGGGTCTCTCCCAGGGCAGATTCCCAAGGGATTTTCCCAGTTTTTTCCCAGTTTTTCTGGGAATTCTGGACCCACCTTGCCCAAAGGCCAGGGACACTCTCAGGGCAGTTTTCCCGGGATTTTCCCAGTTTTTTCCCATTTTTTTGGGATTCTGGACCCACCTTGCCCGAAGGCCGGGGCCACTCTCAGGGCAGTTTTTCCCATGGGATTTTTCCATGGGATTTTTTGGGAATTCCCAGTTTTTTTTGGGATTGCAGCCCCACCTTGCCCGAAGGCGCCGATGCTGCCCCTCAGGGCCTCGAGGTCGCAGCCGAAGCGCCCGGCCCGGCCCAGCTCCTCATCGAACTTGCGCTCGCTCACAAAGTGCTGGCAACGGGAAAAAATGGGAATTTCTGTGGGAATTCCATGGGAATGGGGCAGGGAAAATGGGAATTCCCACTGGGAAAGAGGCAGGGAAACAATGGGAATTCCCACTGGGAATGGGGCAGGGGAACAATGGGAATTCCCATTGAGAATGGGGCAGGGAAAAATGGGAATTTTCATGGGAATGGGGCAGGGGAAATGGGAATTCCTACTGGGAATAGGGAAAAATGGGAATTCCCATGAGAATGGAGCAGGAAAAATGGGAATTTCCATGGGAATGGGGCAGGGGAAATGGGGAATTCTCACTGGGAATGGGGAAAATGTGAATTCCCACTGGGAATGGGGCAGGGAAAATGGGAATTCCATGGGAATGGGGCAGGGGAAATGGGAATTCCCACTGGGAATGGGGCAGGGAAAATGGGAATTCCATGGGAATGGGGCAGGGAAAATGGGGAATTCCCACTGGGAATGGGGCAGGGAAAATGGGAATTTCCATGGGAATGGGGCAGGGGAACAATGGGAATTCCCACTGGGAATGGGGCAGGGAACAATGGGAATTCCCACTGGGAACGGGGCAGGGGAACAATGGGAATTCCCACTGGGAATGGGGCAGGGGAACAATGGGAATTCTCACTGGAATTTCCGTGGGAATGCGGCAAGGAAACAATGGGAATTCCCATGGGAACGGGGCAGGAAAAAATGGGGATTCCCACTGGAATTTCCATGGGAATGGGGCTGGGAAAACAGAAATTCCCAAGCAAATGGGGAAAATGGGAATTTCCAATGGGAACGGGGTGAGAATTCCCACGGGATGGGGGTTGGAATTTTTATAGGATTTGGGCTGGAATTTTAACGGGATTGGGGTCAGGAATTCCCAAGGGATTGGCTGAAATTCCCATGGGATTGGGGTTGGAATTTTTATGGAATTTGGTCTGGAATTGCGGGCTCACCTTGATGTCAGCCCTCAGCTCCTGCAGCTGCTCCTCCGACATCCCCGGGGCCGCCTCCGTCAGCTCCCGCAGGGCTCGGCCCGGCGCTGCCGCAGGGAGAGCAGCTCCACTGGAAATGGGGGAAAATTGGGATAAAAACTGGGAATTATGGACAAAAACTGGGAATTATGGACAAAAACTGGGATAAAACATCAGGAATTGGGGATAAAACACTGGGAATTACAGCCTGGCGCTGCCGCAGGGAGAGCAGCTCCACTGGGGAAATGGGGAAAATGGCACAAAAACTGGGAATTATGGACAAAAACTGGGAATTTGGGACAAAAACTGGGATAAACCATCAGGAATTGGGGATAAAACACCGAGAATTCCAGCCTGGCACTGCCGCAGGGAGAGCAGCTCCACTGGGGAAATGGGGAAAATGGGATAAAACATTGGGAATTATGGACAAAAACTGGGATAAAACATCGGGAATTTGGGATAAAACACAATAAATTTGGGATAAAACACTGGGAATTCCAGCCCGGCGCTGCCGCAGGGAGAGCAGCTCCACTGGAAATGGGGGAAAACGGCACAAAAACTGGGAATTATGGACAAAAACTGGAATTATGGACAAAAACTGGGAATTATGGACAAAAACTGGGATAAAACATCAGGAATTGGGGATAAAACACCGAGAATTCCAGCCTGGCGCTGCCGCAGGGAGAGCAGCTCCACTGGAAATGGGGAAAATTGGGATAAAAACTGGGAATTATGGACAAAAACTGGGATAAAACATCAGGAATTGGGGATAAAACACAATAAATTTGGGATAAAACACTGGGAATTCCAGCCCGGCGCTGCCGCAGGGACAGCGGATCCACTGGGAATAAATGGGGGAAAATGGGATAAAACATTGGGAATTTGGGATAAAAACTGTGAATTTGGGGGATAAAAACTGGGATAAAACATTGGGAATTTGGGATAAAAACTGGGAATTTGGGATAAAACACTGGGAATTTAGGGAAAAAACATCAGGAATTGGGGATAAAACACAATAAATTTGGGATAAAACACCGGGAATTCCAGCCTGGCGCTGCCGCAGGGAGAGCAGCTCCACTGGAAATGGGGAAAATTGGGATAAAAACTGGGAATTATGGACAAAAACTGGGAATTATGGATAAAAACTGGGATAAAACATCAGGAATTTGGGATAAAACACAATAAATTTGGGATAAAACACCGGGAATTCCAGCCCGGCGCTGCCGCAGGGAGAGCAGCTCCACTGGAAATGGGGAAAATGGGATAAAACATTGGGAATTATGGATAAAAACTGGGAATTATGGACAAAAACTGGGAATTTGGGACAAAAACTGGGATAAACCATCAGGAATTGGGGATAAAACACCGAGAATTCCAGCCTGGCACTGCCGCAGGGAGAGCAGCTCCACTGGAAATGGGGAAAATTGGGATAAAAACTGGGAATTATGGACAAAAACTGGGAATTATGGACAAAAACTGGGATAAAACATCAGGAATTTGGGATAAAACACTGGGAATTCCAGCCCGGCGCTGCCGCAGGGAGAGCAGCTCACTTGGGAAATGGGGAAAATGGGATAAAACATTGGAATAAAACTGGGAATTTGGGACAAAAAACTGGGAATTTGGGAAAAAACCCCGGAAATTTGGGATAAAACATCAGGAATTTGGGATAGAACACCAGGAGTCCCAGGCCGGTGCTGCTGCAGGGACAGCAACTCCACTGGGAAAAATGGGGTAAAACTGGGAATTATGGATAAAAACTGGGATAAAACACTGGGAATTGGGATAAAAACTGGGAATCTGGGATAAAACACCTGGAATTGGGGAAAAAACCCCAGAAATTTGGGATAAAACATCAGGAATTGGGGAATAAAACACTGGAATCCCAACCCGGCGCTGCTGCAGGGACAGCGGATCCACTGGGAATAAAACCAGGAAAAAACGGGATAAAAACTGGAATTAGGGAATAAAAACTGGGAATTTGGGATAAAACATTGGGAATTTGGAAATAAACATTGGGAATTTGGGGAAAAATAAACATTGGGAATTTGGAATGAACCACTGGGAATCCCAGCCTGGAGCTGCCGCAGGGACAGCAGCTCCACTGGAGAAATGGGGGAAAAATGGGACAAAAACTGGGAATTTGGGATAAAAACTGGGAATTTAGGGATAAAACATTGGGAATTTGGGAATAAAAGCTGGGAATTGGGGAAAAAAACCCAGAAATTTGAGATAAAACATCAGGAATTGGGGAATAAAACACTGGGAATTCCAGCTTGGCGCTGCCACAGGGGACAGCGGATCCACTGGGAATAAAACCAGGGAAAAATGGGATAAAAACTGGGAATTAGGGAATAAAAACTGGGAATTTGGGGATAAAACACTGGAATTTGGGATAAAACATTGGGAATTTGGGATAAAACATTGGGAATTTGGAAATAAACATTGGGAATTTGGGAATAAACATCAGGAATTGGGGAATGAAACACTGGGAATCCCAACCCGGTGCTGCTGCAGGGACAGGAGATCCACTGGGAAAAATGGGGTAAAAATTGGGATAAAAACTGGGAATTTGGGAGAAAACCTGGGATTTGGGGATAAAACACTGGGAATTTGGGATAAAACCTGGGAATTTGGGATAAAACCTGGGAATTTGGGGATAAAACACCTGGAATTGCGGGAAAAAAAACCCCAGAAATTTGGGATAAAATACTGAGAATTTGGGATAAAACAGTGGGAATTTGGGATAAAACATTGAATTCCAGCCCTGCACTGCCTCAGGGCCACTGAAATGGGAATAAATTTGGGAATTTTGGGAATTCTCCTCACTTGCTTCTGCCCTTGACTTTGTCCATCTCGGCCAGCAGAGCCACCTCCCGGTCCATGAGGCTGGAGGGGGGAAAAGAGGGGAAAAATGGGGGAAAAGTGGAAAAAACAGGGAAAAAAACAGGAGAAAATGGGGGAAAAGTGGGAAAAACAGGGAAAAAAACCAGGGAAAAATGGGAAAAAATGGGGAAAAATCAGGGAAAATAGGAAAAGTGGGAAGGGAAGGGCAGGGAAAGCTCGGCGGGAATTCCGGGATTCGCCGCCAGGGGGCGCCGGAGCCGCGGGAAAATCGGGAATTGGGGCTGGGAGGAGCAGGAGGAGGAATTTGCTCAAATCCCACAAAATTCCCCAAAATTCCCACAAAATTCCCACAAAATTCCACAAAATTCCCACAAAATTCCCACAAAATTCCGTTTTTCTGTCATCCCCTCAAGCCAGGCGGTTCCAGCCCATCCCAAACCCCCCGGAATTCCCAAATTCCCAATCCCGGCCCATCCCAAATTCCTGCGTTCTGGAATTCCCAAACTGCCACATTCCAAACCCCCCAGAATTCCCTTTTTTTTTTTTTTTTTTTTTCTGGATTTTTCCCATTTTTCCTGACCAGCTCTGGATCTCTCCAAACACCCCCTTCAGAGGGGATTCTCCATTCCAGCCCATCACGAACCTCCAAAATTCCCATTTTTCCCTCATTTTCACCGCCAGAATTCCCTTTTTTTTCTGGATTTTTCCCATTTTTCACCCATTTTTTCCCTCAGAATTCCCTGGATTTCCCCGGACCACTCCCTTCACGCTGCACAGGGAATTCTCCATCCCAGCCCATCCCGAACCCCCAAAATTCCCATTTTTCCCCCATTTTTCCCCTCAGAATTCCCATTTTTTCACGGATTTCCCCCATTTTTTCACGGATTTTCCCCATTTTTCCCTCAGAATTCCCACATTTCCTGACCAGCTCTGGATCTCCCCGAACGCTCCCTTCACCCTGCGCAGGGAATTCTCCATCCCAAACCCCCAAAATTCCCATTTTTCCCCCATTTTCCCCCCCTCAGAATTCCCATTTTTTTTCCCCAGAATTCCCATTTTTTCACGGATTTTCCCCATTTTTTCACGGATTTTCCCCATTTTTTCAGGGATTTTCCCCATTTTTTCACGGATTTTTCCCATTTTTCCCCCATTTTTCCCAGATTTCCTGACCAGCTCTGGATCTCCCCGAACGCTCCCTTCACCCTGCGCAGGGAATTCTCCATCCCAAACCCCCAAAATTCCCATTTTCACTCCCAGAATCCCCCATTTTTCCTCCCATTTTCCCCATTTTTTCACGGATTTTCCCCATTTTTTTTCCCAGATTTCCTGACCAGCTCTGGATCTCCCCGAACGCTCCCTTCACCCTGCGCAGGGAATTCTCAATTCCAGCCCACCCCGAACCCCCAAAATTCCCATTTTCACCCCCAGAATTCCCATTTTTTCACGGATTTTCCCCATTTTTTTCACGGATTTTCCCCATTTTTCCCAGATTTTTCCTGACCAGCTCTGGATCTCGCCGAACGCTCCCTTCACCCTGCGCAGGGAATTCTCCATCCCAGCCCATCCCGAACCCCCAAAATTCCCATTTTTCCCCCATTTTTCCCCCCAGAATCCCCATTTTTTTTCCCCAGAATCCCCATTTTTTCACGGATTTTTCCCATTTTTCCCCATTTTCACCCCCAGAATTCCCACATTTCCTGACCAGCTCTGGATCTCCCTGAACGCTCCCTTCACCCTGCGCAGGGAATTCTCCATCCCAAACCCCCAGAATTCCCATTTTTCCCCATTTTCACCCCCAGAATTCCCATTTTTTCATGGATTTTCCCCATTTTTTCACGGATTTTCCCCATTTTTCCCCCCTTTTTCCCAGATTTCCTGACCAGCTCTGGATCTCCCCGAACGCTCCCTTCACCCTGCGCAGGGAATTCTCCATCCCAAACCCCCAAAATTCCCATTTTTCCCCCATTTTTCCCCCCAGAATCCCCATTTTTTCATGGATTTTCCCCATTTTTTCACGGATTTTCCCCATTTTTTCACGGATTTTCCCCATTTTTCCCCATTTTTTCCCAGATTTCCTGACCAGCTCTGGATCTCCCCGAACGCTCCCTTCACCCTGCGCAGGGAATTCTCCATCCCAAACCCCCAGAATTCCCATTTTTCCCCATTTTCACCCCCAGAATCCCCATTTTTTCACGGATTTTCCCCATTTTTTCACGGATTTTCCCCATTTTTTTCACGGATTTTCCCCATTTTTTTTCCCAGATTTCCTGACCAGCTCTGGATCTCGCCGAACGCTCCCTTCACCCTGCGCAGGGAATTCTCCACCTCGTCCCTCAGCAGGGCCCGGAACCGCGCCAGGGCGACCGAGCAGCGCTGCAGGTCCTTGAGCGAGCGCTCCAGGCTGGGACCTGCAGGGAAAAATGGCAAAAAAACGGGGAAAAAATGGCAAAAATGGGATTGGGAAACATTCCCCAGGGTGCCACGGCCTTCCCCCATTTTTTCCTGATTTTTTCCCCCATTTTTTCCTGATTTTTTCCCCCATTTTTTCCTGATTTTTCCCAATTTTTCCCCAATTTTTTCGTGATTTTCCCCCCATTTTTCCCAATTTATTCCTGATTTTCCCCCCTCACTTTCCCTCCCATTGTTCCCAATTATTTGGGAAAATAAATTTTTTTCCCGATTTTTTCCCATTTTCCCCCAATTTTTCTGGCTTTTCCTGATTGTTCCAAATCCAGTCCTGATTTTTCCTTATTTCTCCCCAATTTTTTCCCCATTATTTTCCCGTTTTTCCCAATGTTTCTCCTTCCTGATTTTTCCCCAAGTTTCCACAATTTTCCCAATTTTTCCATGATTCTTCCCAATTTTTCCTGATTTTTTTCCCAATTATTTCCCCCATTTCCCTCAATTTTTCTTTTTCCTGTTTCCCACTATTTTTTCTCCCATTCTTTTCCCTTTTTTCTCCCATTTTTCCCAATTTTTCCCCAATTTTCTTTTTCCTTATTTTTCCCCAATTTTCCCCATTTTTCCCCCGTTTTTCCCAATTTTTTCTTTTTCCTATTTTTTTCCTGACTTTCCCTCTATTTTCCCCAATTTTCCCTCATTTCTCTCAATATTTTCCTCATTTCCCCCATTTTTTCCCTGATTATTTCCAATTTTTCCCCCCCCATTTTTTTTCCTGATTTTTTCCGATTTTCCCCCCTGACTTTTCCCTGATTTTTTTTCTGATTTTCTCCCATTTTTTCATGACTTTTTCCCTGAAATTCCAGAGTTTCCCACTTCTTTTTCCTGATTTTTTCCCCTTTTTCCCTTCCAAAATTCCCATTTTTTCCCAGAAACTGACCCCAGACCTTCCATAATTCCAATTTTCCCTCCCAAATCCCGTTTTTCCCCTCCATAATTCCCATTTTTTCTGTCCATAATTCCCATTTTTTCCCAATTTTTCCCATTTTTTCCCCATTTTCTCACCCAGTTTCCTCCCCCCGGGGGATCCGGGGCTGCTCCGGGTCGGGGTCGGGGCAGGAAAATTTGGGATTCCATTGCCTGGGAAAAATCCAAAATTCCATCAAAATCCATCCCCAAAATCCCAGATTTCCCTCCAATTCCCACATTTCCCCCAGAATTCCCAATTTCCCCCCAAAAATTCCCAATTTTTTTCCCCAAAATCCCTGAATTTTCCCCCAAATTTTCCCTCCCCAAATTCCCAAATTTCCCCTCCTAACATCCCAAAATTTCACCCCAAATTCCAAATTTCCCCAATCCCATCCCCAAAATTCTCAGATTTCCCCTAAAATTCCAATTTCCCCCCAAATTCCCCATTTTCCCTCAAAATCCCAGATCTCCCCCCCACCAATTTCCCAAATTCCCCCCCCAAAATTCCCAAATTTCTCCCCCAAAATTCCCAAATTTTCCCCCAGAATTCCCAGGTTTCGCCTCCAAAATTCCCAGATTTTCTCCCC